CAAGCCTCCAATCCTCAATTGGAGGTGGTTCTATTAACAGACGGAACGGCCTGACAACCCCTTATGGTAGTTATGAGATAGGGGCAGACCATGGAGGTCGGGAGGCATGCTACACACATCAGGGGATGACTATGACTATTGAGAGGCTTATGAAGGCGTTTGGGTATCACGTTTTGCAAAAGATCGCGCTGTACTACGACTAAGCGCACCACGACCGTGAATACATAGCGCGACACTAATTTCAATCAGACAGCTAGACGGCTACGAGGCTTTGACTTCTGATTCTATGAAGATCGCTATCTCCTTGGGACTTGCTTGTAGTAGGTTTGCTACTGATTCTACAGAGCTGCCCACATCCACTCTCTGCTACGGGAAGCGCCATATTTTGAATAAGTTAAAAAAAGGGACACAACCCTTTGTTATTCAATCTCAGCTGTGTGGTAGTGAATCGCAACTAGGCTCATAACTGAGTACCGCTCAAGCACGTTACTATACCCAACTAGGTGCGAAGCCACAAGAACGGCGTGACTACCTTCCTTGACAGGAACGTGATACGCGTCCCAACAATGTCACTATTTAGACTTTCAATAGTACATCGAGGCCATCATGGTTATGTGTTAGTCATAAGCTCCTGCTTAGAAATCGAATTTGCTCGCCCATCTTGAGGTCTGGATGATGACTGCTCTTGGGATTTAGCGCACCCACGCGGCTCAACGACTGATGATGGATGCAGGCGTATAGTTCTCAAACGTTGGTGACCAAGTAAATTAAATATCTCAAATCAGGAGCGAAAGCCTATTGGAAAAACATGTGGGCGACACGCACCACAAGGCTGCAGCACCTGGACTGCATTTACAAACACGTGACACGCGCATCTTGGGAGGATGTGCTTGGCCAAAGATGTTTTCCCAAGATCTATGCTGGTGTGTACCAGTAAGAAATGTGCACAGTTTCTCGGAACACTTTGAATATCGCACATCATGATCAAAGACGGGAACATCAGTATAATCATGAGTCATGAATTATGAATCATGATCATGGAACAGCGGGAGAACATATGGGACTACGTCAAGATATACTCGAGAGTATGCAAAGCTTGCTACGGGACCAAACATGGTAGATAGTATCAAGCATGATGGCCGCTTTATTGTGCATTAAAAAGATGCAAGCAAACTCCACAATAACGAAGGTAGGACAAGGGTATTGCTGTTCAACAATAATATCGTTTTGATTTAGCGAGGATTCAGCTGCTGACACCATTGTTCCATTTTAAGAGCAACTTGGTTGTGTTTTTTAGAATCACAAGAAGCTCATTAAGATACAGCACGAATGCTTGGATATACGCGGACCTGGTAAGAGGATAGAGAACGGCCCGGCTTCCCAGGAGGTGCGAAAACAACATGATTCGGAAAGAAGCTCGATCGAATCTACATGACATAGCCAGAGGCGTCGGATACAACCCCGAGTCGTCACACTGCGCCCACCCGTCTGCACCTGACACGGCCTGTATGCGATCGGCCAGCCTTCCCATATGCTGTGCGTCATCGCTGGCGGCGACATGTATTGGTTGCTAGTTCGAGCATATGATGATCCTGTGCGTTATGCGCATGTCAGAATCTGGAGGTACAAGAGCCCGATTGCGCGAGACGTGCTGATACGAGCCTCATGGCGATGCTGTGGCACCCTTGCATGCAGGGCGTCGAATGCAGCAGACCTCGGGTTTTTTGGTTTCTTCGGTCGATTAGTAGGCCTCGTGGTTCCCGAGTGGGTTCACGCGATCAGCGAGCTTGACTGGTAAAGTAGGTAGCCGTCAATGAAGAGACACGTGACATATCGTTCACACTGTCTACGAGAGAGGGGTTCTTTGCCTTTACCCCAATTCAGACTAGTCACTTTTTGTTGCCCCTCCAAAATTTTAGTACTAGCGCGTTCTGTTTGCGCCTCCGTCGCGGGCCATTGACGCATCGCAGCTACCCCACATTTGGGATGCAGCAAAGCCTTGCGAATATTTGTCGCGCCAGACTTTTGAATTTTTCTACCACTCATTTCAAGAGACCGCTGGTGACTCGCTCGTCTTCTTTGACTCAGAAATTCTTGCCACTCGCCAGCCCTAGGCATAGTCCCCCGCGCGTCTCTTACCTGCACACATTCTCATCCCAACTACAACTGCGTGGGCAATTTGTACCAAAGCCATATTCAAGACCCATTGTATACAACTGCGAACGCACGGGAGGAGTAGAAAACTTCCAGTCGCTTCGACAATACTCCCAGATCGGCTTGACTTCCTTTGAGCCTTTACGAAATCTCTACGCGTCGGCGCGCTCAACATACACCATGGATGAACTTACAGGCACCCTTTCCAAGCTCGGCCTTGAGAAGGTACCGCAAGAGCCCAACACATATCCCGCTCTGAACCCTTTCGATATATACAGAAGTCACATCACCGAGCTACTCTCCTCCGTCTCCAGCGTAGACAAGAAAATAATATACCCTACATTGGCATGGACAGCAAAGCCTGAACATGGTGACCTGCAACTAGCGGTCCCCGCACTCCGCCAGAAGAAGAAGGACATGAAGGCATTTGCACAGGAGCTGGCCGACGCCTTTCCCGAGTCGCCGCTCGTTAAGAAGCCGATTGTCACCAACACATCGATTGGCTTCTTCTTCAAACCCGAAACCCTCACTTCGCTTGTTCTACCGATGATTCTCAAGTCCAAGGAGAGCTACGGTTTCAACAAGAACCTCGGCCTTAAGGACCCCTCAAACCCTTCTTCTGGTCCCAAAAAGATGATTGTCGAGTTCAGTTCGCCCAACATTGCGAAGCCATTCCACGCCGGTCACTTGCGAAGCACAATCATTGGTGGTTTCCTCGCCAATCTATACGAGGGTGCTGGATGGGATGTTGTTCGCATGAACTACCTCGGAGACTGGGGAAAGCAATACGGTGTCTTGGCCATTGGCTTTGACCTCTACGGAAACGAAGAGGAGCTCGTCAAAAACCCCATTGGCCACCTGTACGATATTTACGTCAAGGTCAGCAATGTACAACACAACGAGGCAGAGCAGGTCAAGGCTCTCAAGGCTGAGGTCGCGAAGCTCAAGGAGGAGGGCAAGGATGCATCAGAGCAGGAGAAGCAGATCAAGAAGATTGAGGAGGAGGGTATCGACGAGCAGGCTAGGAAATACTTCAAGGGCATGGTTGATGGCGAGCCCAAGGCTCTCGGTATCTGGAAACGCTTCAGGGTGAGCAGTCTTGCTACAATCGATGGTGTACTATATGCTGACTTGCGCAGGACCTTTCCATTGAGAAGTACAAGCAGACCTATGCCCGATTGAACATTCACTATGATGACTACAGTGGAGAGTCACAAGTAAAAGATGAGAGCATGGAGCTTGCTGCCAAGACTATGTGGGAGAAGAAGGTCTGCGAGGACTCGGAAGGTGCAGTCATTGTAGACCTCACACCGCATTCCAAGAAGCTTGGCAAGGCAGTCGTCAAGAAGAAGGATGGTACTTCGCTGTACCTGACCCGAGACATCGGCGCGGCCATTGAGCGTGACGAGAAGTATCACTTCGAGTATGTGCCATAAATTCCTTCCGGGAACAAAAGGAAGAGATGCTAATTCTTGTCACAGCAAAATGATCTACGTTGTTGCATCGCAACAAGACCTCCACTTGGCCCAGCTGTTCAAGATCGAGGAGCTTATGGGCAGGAAAGACATCTCTGACAGGTGTCAACACATCAACTTCGGCATGGTTTTGGGTTAGCCCTCACCCTCTTACTTTACCTACAAATCAAATACTAACAGAGTGACTCCAGGCATGTCAACCCGAAAAGGCACCGCCAAATTCCTCGACGACATCCTCCGCGACGTCGGCGAAAAAATGCACGAAGTCATGCGCACCAACGAGACCAAATATGCTCAAGTCAAGGACCCCGAACAAACCGCCGACACACTCGGCATCTCGGCTGTCATGGTCCAAGACATGAAGGGCAAGCGCATCAACAACTACACCTTCGACATGGACCGCATGACTTCCTTCGAAGGCGACACAGGTCCCTATCTCCAATACGCCCACGCCCGCCTCTGCTCCATCTACCGCAAAGCAGTCGAGTCCGACCCTTCGCTTGCAGACCTCGATCTCGCCACGGCGGCAGACTTTAGCCTGCTCCAGGAAGACAAGGCTGTTGAATTGGTTCGCCAACTAGCCAGTTGGCCTGACACTTTCCTCAACACGCTCAAGACGCAGGAGCCCACGACGGTGCTGACGTACCTTTTCAAGATGGCGCATGCGCTGAGTAGCAGCTATGATCACCTGCAGGTTGTGGGCTCGGAGAGGAACGTGTTGGTTGCTAGGCTGGCGCTGTATGTAGCTGCTAGGCAGGTCCTGTATAATGGCATGAGGGTCCTGGGGTTGAGTCCTGTGGAAAGGATGTAAGAGTGGAGTGGAGTGGAGTGAAGTGGCATGATAGCATGGTATTCTCAAGGATGATAAGGATGATGATGTAGAAGATGTAACGAATACGACTTTTTTTCTTTCCTTCATTGCGTACATGTCCCTCTCTGTTTTGTTTTTTTCGAGGCTTTTTTATTCTGGGAGACGAGTCGGAACATGAAAAAGTCCCTTACACAAACCTCAAACAAAAGCTTTCATCACTACCCTGGACACGGGATACACGCATTGTTCCGAGTGTCATCAGCTTTGAGACAAAAGATCCCTAAATACAAGAATAACTAGACATAAGAGTGGTTTTCACAAATCTTATTTCTATCTACTGACTGCTTCTCTGTCTGATACTTGCTACACCCATGTGTATGGCAATGATGCTACTATAGCCAATGACGCTATTCTAGCCCGAGTGCAAGTTCAGTCCAGCACGCGAGTCTCACCAAGCGGCCGAGAGCCACAATATGCAAGTAGCTAAAAGCTTCAGCTGAGCCTTCAGTGCGCCTTCAATGTGCCACGCATACTGCTCCAAATGCTTCCTTCTTTCTACAATGCCTACGAGACTAGCCAAAGGTATCGTACAGTCCGTCGTTTCTCTCCTATCTCGAGGTTCCAGTTTTTGAGTATGTGTGTTTGTTTTAGAGTGGGGTTGTAATGGTATGTTGTGGTATGATATGTGGTGTTATGACATTTCATACATCGTATGTAGGGTTTCCGAATGGGGGATTTGGGGGGGAATCGGTCGTAATCGTATGATGCAAGAGTCGGAAACGACTGAGTGTACAGGGGCTCCGGGGAAATGCTAGAAAACAGTGCTAGAACGCTAGAGAGAAAAAAAACACAAAAGGGAAGACAACGTGCCAACACGATGAGGTCGTCCGAGTAAAAGCCGATGGTGGTCTTGAAGTGAAAATCGATAGGAGGTGATAAGGCGGCGTATGGTCAACCTCGCCTCACCTCGAAGATTGTCTTCAGTCCACGCTTTGATATTCGACCCACTGCTGCCACAACCCCAACCATGAAGGCAACGCGAAAAGACAGAAACGCAAGACATAATGCAAGAACACAGACGGCCCACCCCATCTCGTCCACTTGTTAGGCGCCATTAGTCACAGGCGGGCCCCCTGCACGTGGGTCTCCGGGAGGCAATCCGGGCACCTTTTGCGCAGGCGGACGGGCAGGGTGCGAGTGATGGGGACAACCGTGGGGACAAGTCGCAACAGGTTCGTCATAGTCATCGTCGTAGTACTCGTCCTGTGGATCAAGGGAGCCTTCGTCGTCGCGTCGGTCGTAAGCACCTGGAGGAGGGTTCTGGTTGTGCTGGGCATTGTTGGCGTTATTTTGCGCCTTCTTGCTTGCCTTCTTGCCCTTGCGCCCCTTCATCCTAGCCTTCTCCAACAGACGACGCTTCTCCGCCAAACGTTTACGTTCCTTCCTATCCTTGATTTCATACTGTCGAATCAGGGCCATGGGAGGGTGACCGAAAATGTCTTCGTATTCACAGAACTCGCAAATCCACGGCTGGCTAGGTGGGTTGTGGAAGTTGGCGTACTCTTGCTGAATGCGGCGTTTGCGGGCAGCATACTCATACAGCTTTGAAGCGCTACGTCGAGGCTTTCGTGGCGGCGGAGCTTGCTGTGGCGGCGGGGGACCCGTAGATCGACGTGCAGTGCCATTGGGCGGGGGAGGGGGAGGGTATGTACCTGACTCATTCATGTTCGGACTCGTCTGAGTGCCCTGCGTAGACACCATTGGAGCATCGGAGCGGACAGGAGGGCGGGCGCGAACAGCTTGGGGGTGGGATTGGGGTGCGGCCGTGCTTGGGTAGGCACTTGGAGGTTGAGAGTATTGGCCGTTTTCCTGGCCTGGCCAGACCATTTTATTTGCTGAGTCAGACCCACAAGTGAAGGTGAATTGGGTTTTGATTGCACTGTTCTTGGCGGCCTCCTGCTGTAATAGGCTCACGTTTTCGTTGCCGTGGGGTGGCGGGGTTGCTGCAGCGTTTGCAATGGCGGTTGAAATGATGCCGCTTTGCTCCGGAGGACCTAGAAAACAAATAGTCAGCGCACGGACTCTTTTTTTAAAAGTGAAGACGAGTGAATTCCCGAGGTGGCACCGTACGTTTGCTGTTCGCTTTGGCGTTGGCGAGGGTGCTGGACGTGGCCAAGACACGCCTCTCTGACCGACCCGAGCCAGAACGTCCAAAACGCCCTCTGCCTGCACCCGAGATGCCTGTTCCAGAAGTCGTGTTATGTTGTGGTGTCGACGGCGCGGAGCCATAGTAGCGCGCGGCGCCATCTCCCTCGCCATCGTCGGCTGGCCCTGCATCTTGAACGTGTGCTACAGCTGTGGCAGCCAGATCCGCTGAGAGACTCGGGTGGTGTGCACCATTGCTACCCATGTTCGGAATCTTGCGCTTCTTCTTGTTGTTGGTGTTCTCAAACGATTCATAACCGTCCACTGAAGATGTTGGCGAGCCTGGCTTGCGATGGGTGCCTGCGATACCGGCTGCAGGCTTTCCAGAGGCATGTCTACTGTACTGGTAGCTTGGAGACACAGGCATGGGTCCACTGCGGTCGTCCTCTTCATCGTCACTCTCCACCTCAGAGTGAGTGTGTCCACAGTGACAGGCGTGGTGGTCATTAGTCCCAGTCCTGTGAGGACGCACTCGCTCATCCGCCATGTATGGGAAGTTGAAGAGCGGACCGGTGGGAGGTGGATTGTGCGGGTACACGATTGTCTCGGCCTGCTCAGGCGATAAGCGAGCGCGGAGAGAGCGGCTGGGTAGAGGGCGAATGGGCCGATCGGGGTACATGGAAGACGAGGTGTCGGGCGAAGAGCGCAGCGGCGAAGAGCGGTTCCAGTCGTAGCCTGCAAAACGAACAAGTTGTGTCAGATATGCGAGCGAACAAAAGGTACACCTGTTCAAAAGATACAAGTACAGGTGGTGCGGTGCGACAGGGAAATGGGCAGAAAGCTTGGTGGGTAGCCCATAACGCCCTACAACCAGTACTTACCCGCAGTCGCCGCTGCCATGCTGGCGATCCTTGCTCGTATGCCCAATCACCAAGACGGTGTGGCGGGTGTCGTGTCGTGCCTTGCCTGAGAAAAAGTCCAGCTATGTCCAAAACTATCTTCGGCCGTGTCTGGCGTGCCCACGTTAGCACTAGATCGGAGATGACTGCCCCAGCGTGTGCGCAGATGATCGCAGCAGACTCTCTTGAGCGGGAATCGTGGCAAGACACGGTGTTGGCGTGTGGGGAGCTGTTGACGCACCTTTTTCGAGGGGTGGTTTGTGTGAGGGACAGTACTGGTGGCTAGTCAGCGGAGAGCCCCTCTATTATTTCCGATGGCATGGCGACTGACAGGATAGCAGTGCTAGCAGGGGGGGCGAGGGACAAGGCCAACGTCCAAGAGAGTGGAAGGACCCGGGACAGGCTCCTGGGTGGTCGGGACGAGTGACGGCGGCGATGGAGGCGTCAATGCCGAAGACGTGGTATTGGGGTTGGGGTTGGGGTTGGCGGGCGCCAAGCAAGGCCAGTTGAGGGACTTTGGGCGCTGTGGTGTGGCCTTGGAGCTCGCCAAAGCAGGGACAGTGCTAGCGTCTGCGATGGACTGCTGGGCTAACAGGCGCAGGATGGGCAATGTCGAGAGGGCAGAAACACGGAGCGGATTCGAGGATGCAGATGGTGAAGACGACAGGGCCACCACTCACCGGCGGGCCATGTCGACGTCGGCTTGCATACCACTTCGCAACGACCGTGCTGGTGGCGCTAGAGCCCGCAGTGGATTGGTAATTGCTCCTGGGCCCATCCAGCAAATGACAGCCCTCTGCCCCCATGCTCCTCGCCCTCTACTACATGTCCATGTACATATACTAGTGTAGGTCGCCTGCTGCCGAAGCCTTTACCGCCTCATCCTATCCATGGCCCTCTCGACATGCTCAGCTGTCCCACCTGCCGCGAGGCCCGCGTCCACTCGACGCAGTCACCTCCATCTTGACACATGGCGACCGAATAGTCGCCCTGTCCGCCGTCGGAGCTGGGATCAGCCACCCAAGTTGCGGCCTGAAGGATGCCCACGGCCCTCGAGCTATGTGTCTTGGTCTATGTTCTGTGTGTGCTTACTTGGTCGAGCGCATCAAACCCTGACTCGCCTACACAAAGAGTAGAGTCGATTCTCCAGTACAGGCGTGGTTCCCTCGTCTGGAGACTGGCATGTCACTGCTGACTGTCATGTGCATGATGATCGGCTCTGCCTCGTCCGGCATCCCGCTTGTACCTGCATTTCTGGCGGCTGGGGACCCCACAAGTACATCCCAAAAGCATGGTTATCCCCCCTTAGTCGTATCTTGCACAAAGTTCGCCAGACACAGCGCTTAGCCGCAACCTATGGTGCAAGCCTTTGTCCGTGGGCAGCCAGTACTTGGCGACTCGGGCGGGCGTTATGCACGGGGATAAGCCTTGCGTATCGATTACCGGCCGGCCGCCTACGTCATAAACAGACTCCACGCCTAACTTCATCCTCAGCCAACAAGCAGTCCTGCATCCAGTCAAGGCTTCCACCCATACAGCAATGTATCCCGACTTCTACCCGAGGTCAACTACAGACACTACCATAACCATTCAGCTGGCGGGTAGTGTGCAGACATCTCTTTTGCTCTGCAGCCACCATTACATACTATCTTTGGTCGCAATATCAGAATATAAGGAAGTTCACAAGCACCTGCGTCTATGCTGCTGGGCTTTCAGCTGAGTTCTGGTCCAAGCACTGGCTTCAAGATAAAATAATCTCTACCGTTTCTACTTATCAGTATAGAGGTGGAGATTATTGCACCGGCATGTGCACAAAACACGACCCGATTCCCTCAACACTAAAAAGCGCGTGAGTGTCGTAGTCCCACATGTGCGTGGCTGCAAGACGCCGTGTTATGCCAAACAGATGAGGTAAACCTAATGATTCTCGAGACCCAAAGCATATGTGCACCAGCAAATCAAATGATAGTAATCCTAGCCAGGCCACGGAAGATAAGCACTTTTGGGTCAAAGTACCAGAGTAACGCACCCCACGTGATTGCTTCACTCCTCACTTTCGCCCTCTCAATTTTAAGCCTCCTCTCGCCCATATACCTATTTTTACCGTGAGAATACTTCCCCTCATGTCTCTCCATGTACCTCATCTTGAGGTGCCCGTGCGCATCTCCGACTGAGCAATGATACATTTCGTTTTACTCCAATTTTTATGAAATTCCATCTCATTCTAAACCCCGCTCTAGATTTCCCTCCGAGTGCACCCTCTGGCTCAACAGGGACTCAACAATCCACGGTTCAGGTCACAGTCACCCTCAGCCACTTTCCCGCCTTCCTGATATAATATCATTCGACACACATAGCCTTCAATTCAAATTCTTCTGCCTTGACCTCACCTCCAATCCCAGGAAGACTGCAACTCAGCAACACTGCCTACCATGCCTCTGATAGGATATGACGGTACTCTCTGCTACCATCCTTCCGACAACTGTCCAAGACGTTATGCTTTCTGGGTGTATGAACCCTCTCTCATCGTCAACTCAGCTTTCCTTGTGCTCTTCGGTACATCCTTCATCACTTTCGTCGTTCAAGGCACTGCAGATGCAAAGTGGCTTGGTTTCAGTCTAGCCATGGCTATTGGTTGCGCGCTCGAGGTTGCTGGCTACGCGGGACGCATACTAGCCCAGCAAGACATGTATGCAGAGGTATGTATTGGCCACAGACGACCGACTGTCTTATCCGAGCCCATTCGCCAAGATGCTGGTGACTGACAACACTCAGACCCCTTTCCTCGTCCAAATCATCTGCCTGACCATCGGTCCCGCCTTCCTTGCTGCGGGCATCTATCTCTGCCTCTCGCGTATCGTCACAAGTATCGGTCCCGAATATTCGCGTATCAAGCCATTCTCTTATCCAAAGATCTTTATCCCCTGCGACATCATCTCCCTTGTGCTCCAGGCTGTCGGAGGAGGCATGGCCAGTGTTGCTATACACAACGGCAAGAAAATCAAGAAGGGCGACAACGTCATGGTTGCCGGCCTAGCTTTCCAGGTTGCAACAATGTTCGCATTCATCCTGATAGCTGTCGACTTCGCCTGGCGCACATTCCGCAACCATAATTTGCTTCCACAAACTACTCAAAATCAAAGCCAAGTAAATTCTAAAATATCACGGCGATTCAAGGGCTTCATCATCGCCTTGACCTTGTCCACCATTTGCATCTTCATAAGATGCGTGTTTCGGGTTGCCGAGCTGAGTCAAGGCTGGAGAGGTGAGCTCGCCACGACCCAAAAGTACTTCATTGGTCTAGAAGGCGCAGTCATTGTTGCATCAGTCTTGCTTCTGAACCTCTGCCATCCAGCGTACTGCTTCAACAATACCAGGGATGCAAGGGATGGGCAACTCAGCAGGAAGATTTGCTTCTTGAAGAGAAGGTCTGCTGTAAATCAGAGTGAGGCTAGCGATGCTGAGCTAACACAAGTCACTGCTACACCGCCAAAGTAAGGCGCAGAAGGAGAATTAGACATTTGGTCTAAAGAGGAGACGTGGAAACAGGTACGGAAAAAAACGGGGATCACCTCATGGTGCTTTTTGCACTAACATCAAGTCAAACTTACCTGTCTTTCCTGTGAGTTTGACTTACTCATTTCATTTGTTCTTTCTAGTTCTTCTGGTTCCACAATTGTTCTGCTAAAGCAATGATAATATCCGGTTGTACTCAAAACATGATATAATGAATGGGCGTTATCGACGGCGTTTGCCTTCGAGAGTTCTAGGTAATTTTAATTGGGTTGGCGTTGGTGCGGGTATTACTGGGCACGAACAGCAGCGCTTTCTTAATGAGACACTGAAATATTCCAAAGCCATAAAGTATGAATCCGTGCACATATCATCATTGATGAAAAAAAAGAAAGACTTGCCGGACATCATATATGCTCTTGCGTGGGTATGTTGACGGAAAGAAAAAAGTGATTTGTACAGTATGCTGCCGCATCTACGACCCAAATATCATGCTTGCTACGTCCTACACTTGCTCACACCCCCTCTTTTGAAGCCTTGTGCAAGCTTCTAATGGAACCATCTGGACTTTCCACTCCTATCTCTTATAGCATTCCCCTACTCATCATCGAACCCCGCTGGCCTTGGCCTTGGTCCCTTTGGTACTGCAATAGATCAGCATGCCACTCTATAACAAAAAAAAGCAGATGTAGAAACCATCGTTTCCTCCGTGTCTCTCTTTCCTCCCCTGTTATCACGTACCTGGGTATGTCAAGGGAATCTTCTGAATGGGCTCTTCGCCCATGTATCTCCGAATCGGAGGGACGGTAACCAGCATTACGGGACCAGCGAGGCCGATGACAATCGAGTAAAAGTAAGCTGGCTTGTTGTACGCAGCCCATTTCATGTACCGCAGCGGCTGACGGAAGAAGAGCGGGGAGGGAGGGACGCCGGACATGTTTGCTGTGTATGTTGTGAGCGCGCGGGGGAGTTTTTAGAGCGTAGCAGCGATGCGCGCGCGTACCAACTTTATTATCGTGAGGCGAGAAAATCGAGGCGCAATTCACAAAGGGGCCCAATGCCTTGATCTGGCGTCGCAATTGCAAGTCGACTATATGTCGTGAGGTTAGCTGCTGGGTAGCTTGTCGCTCCTCCCGTGCGCTCCTCCAATCGGCGCGCAGCGATTTTCCGGGACCGATAGGGCTTGGCAAATGCATACGTATCTCCCATGGCAGCTCTCTACGCGGCCGCGCATTCCGTCAGGTTCAACTTGCACACAACCACAAGATGAGGTGGTTATTTTCTTTTACCCTCGCTTTTGTCTGGTCGCTGGTGGCCCAAGCCAAGAGCTTTACTGGCAGCCGGTTGCTGGTTGTGCTCGAAGACCAGGCCGAGCGGGAGAAGTACAGCGTGTTTCTCGAGGACTTGACATGTAAGTTGATCCATTCTGTCAATTGCAGCTTGACTAGTCTTGTGCGATTGTTGCAAGAGTTGGGAATTGGATTGGTCCACGCCTTGGTTTTGGAATTGCAAAGAGTGGTTGAACTTGCAACTTGGCCTTATGCCACTCATGAATGCTCACTCGGAACAACATTGGCGCATATAACAACGCTGACACGTACGTACAGCCCGAGGATTCACTACGACCGTCGGATCACCAAAAGATACCACTCTCACATTGCTCAAGCACGGTGAACGAGCATACGACCATGTCCTCCTCCTACCGGGCAAGTCTAAAGGCCTCGGCCCTGCCCTCACCGCGAATAACTTCCTCGAATTCATGAAGAACGACGGAAACGTCCTCGTTGCCCTCTCAAGCGAATATCCTACGCCCACGGCCGTTCAGGCAATGCTTCTCGAAGTCGACATCAGCGTACCCAACGACAAGGGCGCATTGGTTGTTGACCACTTCAACTATGATTCGCTTTCGGCAGAGGAGGCGCACGATGTCCTTCTTCTTCCATTCCCAGGTGTGCTCAGACCCGATGTCAAGAACTACTTTGGTGGTGAGGGATACATTGCGGTCCCACGCGCCGTCGGTCAGGCCCTTGGAAACGAGTCTCCTCTTACTTCGCCCATTCTTCGTGCCCCCAGCACCGCATACAGCTATAACCCCAAGGATGAAGCCGAGGGTTCCGAAGATCCCTTCGCGGTCGGTGGTCAGCTGAACGTGGTCTCTGCCATGCAGGCAAACAACGCAGCGCGTTTGGTTGTTGTTGGCTCTGCTGAGATGCTCCAAAACAAGTGGTTCGCTGAGAAGGCGAAGCTGGGCGACAAGTCCATCACCACCGGAAACCGTGAATTCGCTCAGAAGGTGTCATCCTGGGCTTTTAAGGAGACTGGTGTGCTCAAGGTCGGAAAGCTTCTACACTACCAGGATGAGGGTGCCAGCAAGAAGTTGAACACCAGCACTTCAATCCCAGAGAGCAACCCCAGCATTTACCGTATCAAGACGGATGTCGTAAGTAACTTGTGTGTCCACTTTTATGGTGCAATGCTAACTCGATAATAGCACTTCCAAGTCGAAATCTCCGAGTACAGCATAGACCACCTTGAGCCCTTTGTCCCTGCTCCGCAGGACAATGTTCAGCTTGAGTTCAGCATGCTCTCACCTTTCCACCGCCTTGATCTGTCTCCAATTGCGAAGACCGAGAACGCCACCATCTTCGGTACCGGATTCAAGACCCCTGATCAGCACGGTATCTTCAACTTCCGTGTCAACTACCGTCGCCCATTCGTCACCAATATCGACGAGAAGAGGCAGGTCACCGTCAGGCATTTTGCCCATGATGAATACCCAAGGAGTTATGAGATTAGCGGTGCTTGGGTCTGGATTGGAGGTATCTGGGTCACCGTTCTTGGATGGCTCGCATTCGTGGCTGTCTGGCTGTACAGCGCACCTACTGAGAAGAGCACCAAGAAGACTCAGTAGATGGATTTTCTGGTTGGTTGTAGGGGCTACGGTGGGAGGGAAAGGACCTTTTGTTGTAGCGTTATTTTAAGCCATATCATCCATTGGCGTTGCGCGATATGTACATTATGGAATTAGGGCATAGGAATGACCCAAAAAGCTTAGATCGGAATGATATCTTTGACTTTATCGCTTGTGCCACTTGATGGTTTCTGTTTTTGTTTTTCGACGTTTAACTCGATGTTCTTCGATGGGTAGACAAGATCAATTTCGCTTTCCACTTCACCCATCAGAGCTTACTCTGCGCCTCCAGCACCCTCGGATGCGCAACTCTTCCTGGCTTCAATTTACTCCAATCCTCTTCATACCCCTCTTCGACATCAGGATACGGTCCCAAGGGCGTGATAGCCAACGGATTGATACTCTCATGACTCTTCGTGTACTATTCCCAACGAACTCTCATGTCAGCAAAATACACTCATCTTTTCCATTTCACATGCCTCCCCCCCCCCAAAAAAAGTCTACTTCCAAAAAGGGAAAAACAATTAAGCAAGGGAGAAAAAAACTCACATTCTCCTTGATATGCCTGAACTCGGTACTCTCCTTGAACCCCTCGACATTCCAATACAAGCCCTTCAACCAATTATTCAGCACGGGATAGTCATGTCGTATGGACCCGAGATTTGTCTTGAAATGCTGGGCATACACAGTATCGAAGCGCACAATGGTCGGGTACGCAAAGATATCCAGCTCCGTCATGTGGGAGCCCAAGATGTAGGGACCGCCGTTGCCGTGAATCAGGGCTTCGAGCTTGTTGAGGGCGGCAAAGAGCGGGACAACGTGTTCTTCGTATGGCGCCTGAGACGGTGCGAAGCCGGCTTTGTAGACGCCGTTGCAGATGAGATTTGTCATCCATTGCTTCGTCTCGTCGATTTTGGCCTGAAGCGAGGTTGGGTAGAGCGTCCTTACGGTAGCTGGTGGTGGTGATGGTGGTGGGTTCAGAGAAGAGAAAGCGCTAGGAAGCCATTTTACCATTTCGGCGCTTTCGTTGCAGACGATTTTTTGGGCTTTCTTGTCCCAGATCATGGGGACCGTGTAGCGTCCCTTGTAGGCGGGGTCGCAGCGGAAGTAGATTTGGTGGAGGAATTGGCTGTTGAAGAGGTGGTCCGGGGTGCTGCCTGGGTAGGTGGCGTCGAAGCGCCAGCCGGGTTCGCCTTTTGGGTAAGGGCGTACGATGGAGATTGGGAGGTAGTCTTGGAGGTTGAAGAGGTGCCGGATTAGGTTTGTGCGGTGGGCGTAGGGGCAGAAGAGACCTAAGTTAGGGGTGAGTTGGGGGTAAGGAGTTAATTGATTGAGAGTTTATGGGAAGAAGACGCAGTGACTATCTTTTTGATTAGGCTTACCGATGTAAAGATGGTATCGATCTTTTTCTGGAGGAAACTCTCCACCTTCTTGGATCACGCCGTGCCAGCCATCGTCAGTCCCATACTTGTGGATTGCGGGGCTGGACATGATGAGATGAGTTGGGATTTAATAAATGGCACAGGGTATGAAATTTAATACTTGTATTTAACCAAGCAGGCAATCTAGAAATCCGGTCAGATTCTAGATATGGCTCAGTATACAGCTTGCAAAGGTCAGCAAACTGTAATGGTGTTGAAGGTGTGGCGTTGCGGGGCCCCACGTTGCCTATGTACGTAGCTTACCTTTGACCGAGATCACCCCGAAGCTACTGTATCCAGACTTCATTGCTTGGTAAGATGCCAATTAGTGACTGCTGGGAAGGCTCATGGACATATTGATATAGTTTCATTAATTTAGCTCAGGGTCTACTGACACTAATTACAGCATTTCAACTCCTCACACAACGACCCACATGGGACGCGACACTTTTCTGTACTTGGCCGCGCTGTGCTTGTAGCACTGGGCATTGCCGGAGTTACTCCTTCAGATGCATCTGGTGTATCCTCTAGTCTCTCTGCAGGCGATGCAAGCTCGGGCTGAAGTGTCGCAGAGTGTATGCCGTATGCATGCAGGCACTCAGAAAAGATCTTTGCTTTCTCCATGAAGCTTGCAATGTCAGGATCACTGACCCTGACGTGCGCCGACGCAATTGCCTTCTTTTGGTCCAGACGCCAGACGTGCAACTCATGTACACCCAAGACACCTGGGATTGCTTCCAGGTCATGCTTGACATCTTCAATCTTGACGCCCAATGGTGCGGATTGCAAGAGAATCTTACCGCTCCGCTTCGTAAGAGGGAGTGCGGAGAGGAAGATCATGATGGCGATCCACATACTGACTGCTGGATCGGCGTAGAAGCGGTTGGGTGACTTTACGAACCAGATGATTACAGCTGAGATGATGACGCCGATGTTGTTGATGGCGTCGCCAATGACGTGAAGGAGAACAGCAAAGATACCAAGATCCATGCCGTGTTTCTTAGGTTGCATGGCTAGATGCAGGTGATTGGCGTGTGTTGGGGTAGACAATCGGACTTCTCTATCGCTGCTGTTTCCGTGGCCATGGCTGTGGCCATGGCCGTGGTCATGCTCGTGCAGGAACAGAACGCTGATGATGTTGAGAAACAGTCCGATACATCCCACGATTAAGATTAATTTTGGGTTGTCGACGTGCTCGATGGTAATGAAGCGCTCGATAGACTGTAGGGCGATACTGAGGGCTAGGGCAAGTAGAAAGGCGCCGTTGAAGAAGGCACCAAGCAATTGGGCACGTGCCCAACCAAATGAAAGGTCTGCAGGTGATGTCTTGCGTTCTGACACTTGGACTGCCACCAGGGCTATAATAAAACCGATCAGGTCGTTGAGCTAGAATGAAGTTTAGATATTTGTACGAGTAAGTAAGATAAGGGTATGGTATATGTTCAAGCGAACATCTCCAGATCCCATTCAAACTTACGTAGTGGAAAGCATCTGCAACAAGGGCTAAGGAGCGAGTGTAGAAACCGACTGATATCTCTGCCAAGAAGAAACAGAACGATATTGCTATAACGGCCCGAAGGCGGGTCTTCCGAGTAATGCTGGGCATGGTGTAGAGGAAACTTGATAAAGAAACAATCAAAACTGCTTAGAGAAGCGTTTTATCAATAAGCAAGGTAGGCTTAGTGGAAGTAGGTGTGAATGAGGAAAGCAGGTTGTGCGCAGCACCAAATTAAATGGAAGTAAAGGCAAGTAATATTGACAACAATACGCTGAATTTAACAATCGCACGACACATTGTTCATAAAATGTGTTTCCCTGTTCTGACGTCGAACTCGGTGACAGATCAAATCTCGGTGACAGATCGAATTGCTATGCTGTGTCAGGTGTGATGGGGCTGCAGCCGTCCCAAATCTGCGACAGTGGATAGTCATCGTAACAAACCACCGTTTTTGTCACGCCTCGGAAGTAACGTGACGCCACCGCTGTCATTTTTGACAGCAAGTCAGACGACGACTTTAGTTGATGAAGGTCGATTCGTTACGTGCCCTGGAAAAGATGAATTGTCCTTCACATGATAGCGCGGTGAAGCTAGCCTGATGCAGGCTAGCGCCGGGATATCGATCACCGCCTTTGTCTGGTTACGGCCTGGACCCTCCCCGCCACAGCAAAATATCTCGCAGCGATAGTTGGGCTTCACTTGGGCAACCTTCCATCTTTAGTCACTCTCGAAGACCAAATCTGCACTCACACAACTAGCCGTTAATTATCGTCAGGATAATACAAGATGGGCAACGGAGCCAAGTACGCGATTGCCTTGACTGGGCGTGGTTTAGAGGGGCAGTAACTAACGAAATGTTAGAGCACAGCAGAAGCGCGACCGCAAGGGCGACTCAGGCCCAAAGGAAGCCAAGAGTCAACTCAAGGCCGTATGTAACCCATATTCTTGCACGACTTTGCGACTATCACCACAGGCTACTCTTGTTGCAAGCCGGGTTGCTAACGCGCCACCAGAATGCCGCCGCTCAAACCATCAAGTGCAAAACCTGCTTCCAGACCTTCCAGGGCACCACGAGCCGCAAGATGTTGACCGACCACGCAACCAACAAGCACAGCAAAGACTTTGGTGACTGCTTCAATGCGGATGAGGGTGTTGTCAAATAAACGGCCCGCACTTCGGTCGAACGACCCGACTCACGAGTGAACGAGAACGATCACATACATTCTACCATTTATGCGAGCATGAGATACCATAAGCGAGGAGTTGAAGAAGGGGACGAGCATTTATGGCGAAATGAATGAGACTTATTGTACAGGCGTAGGGTGTGGAATTCAGAATATTGATCTTTTACTTCCCAATGCTTATGGTTCTGAGAATGCGCTGTTTGTTGTCGCTGAACGATCGTTTTCTTGCTTTATCCACCGTGCCAGGTTAGAAGATCATTAACTCTCAGAGTGACAGAAACACGATGGAGTCACGGCATGATGATCAACGAGAAAAGGTGGGGTAGGAACAACTATCTAGGAGAACATCATCTAGTATTCAAATTGTCACGGATATTGGATAGGGAGTGGGTCTGCGATCATTGCAGGGAAAGTTCAAATCTCCTGCCTAATACGGTATATGACCCGTATCATTCGACAATAATGCTTCATGAGAAAACCTAGAACAAAAGTATTTGTTAGAGTAGCCCTTATCCGGAAAAGTTATGACTAGGCGGTTAGACATGAAAGTATGAAGCAGTTTACTAAACGTATGATTCGTTATAAATTATAATCGCTCATGACTCCACCTCCTCGGGAGAAGAAAGCGTGTCCTTCTAGAGTTATACGTGTATGGTCTAGAGTAAGAAGAAGTAACATGACAAACGTATACAGAATATTGCAATGTAGTCACCGCTCTATTATCACTTTATTCACTTGCTATCATTCTCAACAATTCTAGAGGTCACAGCCTTTACCTTATAATTTAGTCTGAAGCAATGCGCTTGAACTATGAGTGCTTTCTCTGCGCCCGGCAGTTCGTAAACCCACCGCTTCTACCCCGCTTCACCCCACTATCCTCGGAACAATTTTCAACCCGGCAAAAACGCAATCAATCCTTCTAAGATACGAGGATCATATCTCGGTCACGATACAATCTTCAGCTGGGTTCATTACCTAGTATAGTAATGCAATGATTTCTCAATCATTCATCAAGTAACACAAACACCGTCTCCTTAGCTCAATTGGGAGAGCGCCAGACTGAAGTCTTCGGTCATTAAATCTGGAGGTATCGTGTTCGATCCACGAAGGGGACATCGTGCCTGAGCTTGCTCAGGGTTCTTCGAACCATTCTTTTTGCGATTGTTGCAGACATCTCGTTTTGCATTTTCGTATCCTTTTTTGCTTCATTCGTGTCACTCCCTGCATAAACCGAGGCTAAGCAACGAAATTATCAGGTGGTCTTCTCTTTTTTAAAAAAAAATTATGCACGGCTAGGTAGTTCTAGTAGTTGAGATCTTCCGAAGATGAGAAATGCATACTGTACACTGTTAGGAAGCAAATGAAGAGTGTACGAGGAGCAAGGTAGCAACATCGGCATGTGCCCCTCATTTATGTGAGTACCTGTATGTCGTGCATATAATTCTCAGTGGTATATAGCTACATAGTCCTGGCTCTCTCTCCATTCTATCATTCAAAGAGCTTTTTTTGGTTGAACATGAAGACCAGTGGCGATCAGTCCAACATACACTTTACATGCCATGAATCAAATAGCCAAGCGGTTGTTTCCAGTCCATCCATGCCACACTCCACCAATCTCCTTCGCAATATCCTCTGCAGTCCGCCCTTGTGCATCCTTCAGGCTTCTGATATCGACCTTGTCCTCCGTCAAGCCCCGCATGATACCCATAGCCTCCGCTTCCTGGAAGACCTCTGGTGGGAACTCTAGCAGGGGGTAGTTACTTGCGAGCAGGAGAAGCAACCAAGCCACCTCTCTACTCTGTGCATGTACCGCCGCATGGAGACCAGACTGCATATCACCAATCGGGTCCTGATACCTTAGTACCCGGTCGATGCCCGTTTCCTTATTAGGATCATCCGTGGTGCTCATCTCTACATCTCCCTGCTCGTCCTCATCGTCGTCGTCCGAACTATCATCCAGCAGCAGCTCAATGATAGCCTTGTAGTCACCCGCGCGACAGAACTCGAGGAATGCGCGGGCCTTGCGATCTTCGGGGTACGCTTTGAGGTAGGATTCTTCTATGAGTAAAGGTAAGATGTCGAGGTTTTCTTGGACTCCGCCTTCGTTGTTGAGTCTGCAGAGAACTTTTTGCGTGTTGTCTTCGGTGACTGAGATTTCTTTTGAGCAGTTGGGGCAGGAGGTTATTTCGTAGGCTGAGAGAAGGCAGTCCCTGAAGTTTTTTTTTTCAAGATTAGCAGTCGCATACAAATTTCGAATGGTTTACTAACCAGTGGAAGTGGCATCCGCAGGACAATTCGACATCATCTGGTACTGTTTCTGGAGCGGGTGCAGGTGCTTTGCCTGACGAAGATGCGCCGCCTTCGTACTCTTCGTCCTCGTCGCGCTCGACTTCTACCTTGAGAGGGTTCTTGCAAATTACACAGCCAGACATTTTTTTCCTTTTGCGATTCTTGTATCGAGGTTTGCAGGAGATTAATGTTAGTGAAATGTTTGGCGGGGCATTAGCGGGGGTTTGGACTTTTTTGTCGCTAAAAAGCGAAAGATTGGTTCACGCGTCACGCGTCTGGAATTTGCAGACGTCATACCATGTTAGAACAGCATCAATTAGCGACTTTTACTCGTTGAAAGAAGCAGAATTATTCCCTGGTAATAGTACGCACAATTACAGCAATTTGGAATAGCTGGCCCTCCTCCATAGCGACAACGGTCCTTTTGGGCATTCGGGCTTCTCTTCGCTCTCGTAAACCTTTGGTTTTCCGTCGACTCGTTTCCGGAGTGCTTCACCCACAGCCACTATCCTGTCTCCTAGTCGCATAACCATTTCCTGGGGACTCATTCGATCCTGTCTGGGATCGAGACGGTCTTCAAAGTCGCTATTCGGTCCCTCATACCTGCAAGCCATGGCTATCTCTGCATGCGTTGCCGGAAAGATGTCCCAGTCGCCGTACGAGGTCCACCGTCCGGCAGTGTCGTTCCTTATCTTTTCAGCTTCCAAATCCCGATATCGTTGAACGATTCTCTCGATTCTTCTCCGGTTCTTGCTGCTCCTCGACTGTGTGAAATAGTCGGTGTACAACTTGCTCCAGTCCACCAGCAAAACTCCGTCTTCAGCATGCCAGTACCAGATAGCCTGGTTCGATAGTTTGAATGGCCAGTACGATCCAACACTGACTGTAGCATTGCACCCAGAGGACGTTGCAGAAAAGAGACGCGATAAGCATCCAACCCGCTGCTGGTCTTGCTGCCAAGTGTCTGATACTGGAGCCTCCTGTCCAACTGAAAACACCGCTAGGTTCGAGTTCTCGGACAAAACGCGATTGAACTCCAGTTGATAGTTGCCGTTAGGAGATCCAAGATCGGACGTGATTACGGTGTGCGGCAAGTAACACATTGGGTATCCATGAATAGTCGTTGGTCGCGTCTTGCAGTCATGTTTGCGGCCACCCGTCTCAGTCACAATATGCTGACAGGCGTTGCAGAAGATGCTGGGTAGATCTACGAGCGACCCTGCAAGCGACCTTTCAAAATCAAATCTCCCTAAAAACGAAGTGGATGGCATGGTGGTAGTTGAGTCGGGTGGCCATGTGCAGACCTAAGACACCCATGATATTTAGAATCTTCTCAAAAGCTGTGCGCTCTGACTATTTTCAAAACTTTGGTACAGAGGGTGTGGCCGACACGCAGGGTACTGCTTGCTTTCACGTGTTACCAGACTTTCATTGCCATAGCGATCGTGACGCTGCGCTGTACGTGGTTTTACTGACTGTGTACTAGACCAGCCCCCCTCACGGTACCATAGCATGACGTGGCTATCTATTCTGTCCTTACGCGCTTTTGGGATGAACGCGGGGTGCTGGGATCGACCAATGCAGGAAGAAGAAAGAAGTCTTTGTTTCCGTCAGATCTTCTCTTTCGCGGCGTAGCCCATACCCATTTCTCTAAAAAGTAAGCACGTTATCTGGGGCGGTTCATCCCCCGGCTCCTCCCACTGGTGGAGTCAAAGAGAAAAGCACCATATTATGCATCCGTGTACCTGAGGACCCGCCATGTTGTCTGGCATGCGTATCACAAAATACCATAGCACACCACGGGAAGAATTTTGCTTTTGGAGGAAACCCCCAATCAAGAGGCAAGCGCATTCTGGAAATCAGGTCGTGAAATTACGCTATCTGCTAAGGGACTGCCAGCTCACGATCAACACCGTCTTTCCACATCATCTCGTGCCTGCGCAGCGTCATCGCGTGCCGGATGCCGCCTCTACATTGACGGAAAACACATTCGTGATAGGTGCCCGCACACATGTTTACAACATCCCTCTCTCTCTCTCCCATGGCCACGCATACGTGGTACTAGCCTTGCATGACCCAACACTCTAGCATCAATGACGAAATGCTCGTCAACAACAGGCGTCAGAAAGCACGGCAGTCCTGGTGTTTGTATACTTGGCAACGAGTTGCAGTGAGATGCTTGAGTTCAACCATAAATATTAATTAAGAACTACCCGGCTACCATCGTCCCAGCCCGGCCATATGCTCGATCAAAAGCCTTCCACGTACCACTCCACTCTTCGTCTGCTCTCCGCTCTTCCTCAACCATTTCCTGGATACTTTCTATGCTTCTCATCTGGGGTATTGGCCGATTCTCTACGGCGGTTATGTCAACACTCTTGTTCTTCTTGGCCTTTTCGGCGTTGAGACGTCGGATGCTGTCCTTGTTCTTGATCAAGAGGCGTTGCGATGCGGTTCTCCATAGGCCCTTTGAACTGCCGACGCGGTTGTGAAGTGGCTTGTCCCAGTCCTGCTCCCATCCCTTTACACTTTCGGTCAACATAGTGTTCAGGGCGACGTGAGAGTGGATCGAAGGCGGGTAGCAAATCTGTGCTCCGGTGCTCATCTTCCCGTGTGGAGATGCTGTACTACTCATTGACGGCGAAGTTGGACTGTATAAATCGCTTGTGCGGTTAGGGCGTCTTTGGCCTGGTCGAGCAGTGAGGTCTGCAGCGGAGTCGTTTCTCAGCGTAGGTGATCGTGGCGAGTCTCTGTGGAATACCTGTTGGGTCTGGAACGAGTCTAGCCATGAAAGCACTGATCGAGGACCAGGCAACGGCTCTTCGCCTGCTCCTCTAAGATATCCCCTCGTTTTCTGAACTGGTGTTTCGGGGATGTCTGATTCGCGGGGCGTGTAACCTGGACTTCTTCTAGGAGACACCGTTGATCGTGGTGATGGGCGGCCTCCGACTAACGAGCTCACGCTCGCATTTACAAGCCGAATGGTCTTCTCACGGCGGAGGTTGTGTCGAGTTGTCGGTTGAAGCTTGCCTTGCGAAGGCAAAGCCCAATTGGTGCCCGTGCTATTAGTTTTCGAATTCATAGTCCCTGTTTTCCCGGTGGTGGATCTTGATCTTCGGATAGATAGTGTATGTCGTGGCATGTGGTTCGCAACATTTGTACGATAAGACGGTGGGATTGGTTCACCCGTATCCAAGTATGAGGCCTTCTTTTTGCGGCGTGGGTGACATTTAGTTAAACAACCTCCGAGTTTCTTTGCCCATATCAAGATGTGAGACTTGCGCTTGGACTTGGTTATATAGACAGTTGAGTCTTCAGCCATGCCGTCGCTCACAGTGGCGATTGTAGTGTCGTTCATGTCGTCGTTCATGTTTGTCGTAAAGGAATGCGTCGCTCGTTGTATATTGTGCGTAAAGATAGAACTGATGTGTCACAGATAGCGAAGCAAAAAGGAGTTTCTGGAAGGGATACGAACGAAATATGAAACGGAACGAAAGGAAAAGAAATTAATGTTTTCGTCCGTGTTGAAGGTTGCGAGACGCACGACCTGACAACAAGTTGATGGCAGAGTGGGCGCTATGATCACGTAGCAACGTGATGCTACATTCCGCAAGCACATGGGCATATTCAGATGGTCGGCTGGTGATAGCGCGCTATCCTTCTATACACCAAGTTCAAGTGTCATTGCTGGTTGTCATATGCTCTGATATAGATGCAGGGGGAGTACCGAGTTTTGGTGAGTAGATAGTCGCAAGTGAACCCCCCTTTCACCCCACCATCATGAACCACTTGGTTCGATATGCAGACTGTGGAGCAAACTGCAGGTTTCCGAACGAGACTGACCCATGCATTCTGCACGAGCATTGTTGGGTAGACCGCTCTTGCTAGTAAATTGAGGGGTAAATGCGCTCTAGCTATCTGCTAGAGATGCATATGTATGTGCATGTATGTTGAGAGGGCCCGGGTTTCGCTGGCCGAAATCTTGATGAAGCACTGATCTCTCTGTCGATTGTTCTTCATATTTCGGATAAATAGATCACATTTCACGCGTTGCTTTTGCGGTTGATGACCGGGCGATCCGTTTCGCTGCAAAATGTCCGCGGAGCGGAAAAACGAAAAAAATGCATCATGCTTCCCATGGCATTTCTATTCATGACTGTCCTTCATTTTCTACTGCCTTAGCGGAAATTTCCCCATGCAGAAACGCATGAAGTTTTTTCCGCTTCTGTAACAGCACATTCCCAACTTGCATATTTCCAGGATAGCGTAGACAGCGAGGGTGAGTATCAGGCCGACGCTCAGGAGTACAGCGCTTGTTGTGAAGAAACGGAGAAGATGAGCCGCGAACTCAAGACACCTAAGTATCCGACCCCTCGCCCTTTGCCGTCGTTGTGTCGCAAAATACCACATCACGAATTCTTCTTGGCGGGATTGTAAATCAGAGTCCGAATTTGCCGTATGCGGTCGTATTCGTGGTCGAATCGCTTTGCTCCTACACCTAACACCTTGTGCTTCCTCACCCAGGCGAATACGAATCTTCGGCTCATAACTCGTGACCAAATTGCACAGATCTCCAAAGATGACCTTGGCGACTGTCGCACGGTCGCTTATCAGGGCGACGCTTACATTCTTGGCGTCGGGAAATAGCCATGTGATGGGGTTGCATGCTGTATGTAGACAGTGGCGTCCTAAACTGCACCAGAAACAGCACCAGGAGATGTGGATATTGCTCTCAGAGAAGACCTTTCGTGGCAGTACTTCTCTGGCACAGATAGCCAGGAGGCGGGACGTGGGACGTATGTTGTGCCAGAGATCGTGCGCAGAAATGTGTCCGCATATTTTCAAGATAAGTTCGGTGGGGAGACGATTAAAGCTCGAGGTCTGAGGATGGTTGAGAATACGCATCTCTTCGGATTGGCTACTTGACTGGGAGCCTCTCTGCAGTAAGTTGGGATGGCCTGATGGCCACAAGGCAGAAGCGCTCATGATAGGTTCTGTGTGCGCTGAATGAAAGTAGGCGATGCGCTCCATGTTGGGTATACGAGAGGATGAGGAGCCATCAAGATAAGTATCCTAAAGTATGGGCTGATGTGAGCAGCCGAAAGGGCTTGCGTAGGGCGCCCCTCGCAAACTGTTCGGCGCTTATAGATGCGTTCGGGGGCGTGAGGCTAATGGACATCGGACTTTGATATTGGCTCATCTGGCCGACCGTATAGTAGGATTCCCTAATTAGCAATACGGACACTTCTAGACATTGTTTGAACTTATAAATGCCGAGAGGATAGTTTACCCCATGTTCTAAGTTTTCCCTCCTCTGTCAGAACGTGCATAATTGAATTGCTTCAACCAATCAATATGCTCGATCCTTTGTATCTGGCCACTAGTGCTAACCAAAGTAGTAGTTGCGGGGAATGTAAGACGTCTACCGACGTTGATTACCTTAATTGGCCGATTTCCTTATCAGGCGTACTTGACTGAATCATCGGGATAAGAGCTAATCGAGTTAGCGAGAATTGCTAGTCGATTGTGGCTGCTTCCCGCCGAACACCCGGCCGACCTCTGTATCGGCGCGAGCTGAACCTCTCTTTGATGTTGCGTATAGTTTGTTAGTATTGTCTCGAAAACCCATCAGCTGATGAAGGAGAGCGGGGAGGAGAGGGGGGCGAAACCTCCAGAGGCTGACCGCTGCTTGGAAGATGCAAAGCTCCAAATTCGTCGGCCTAAACTCATGCATCTCTCATGTACATAAGCAGATCACATGCTAAGGATTACTATGGAAATGGGTTTGTTCTGGAGTAGTAAGCCTGGGTTTCCGTAGTATCCACACGAATGCGCCTACTTAGGTGTGCTCATTGCCGCGCTTCTCGCGATTCTCGCATCTGCAAAGTTTCATTTATATCAACTGCGTCAGGGCACCCATAGCAACAAGAACCCCGGCTGCGATTGGACTGTGTTGATAGGCAGGAATCCTGTTAAATGTAAAACGTCTTTTGCGGATCTTATGGCGGTTGAATCATTTTTCAGGGTAGGCAGAGCCTGTCGCCATGGAAAATCCCCATTTGGTATGACACCGGCTCTCGCGCATATTACTAGTATGTATACATACTAGGTGATTGCCGAGGGAAGAAAAAATGGCCACTCTATTACTCCGAAGATGAGACCATGCGAGATATAACAGATATGCTAGTCATTATGATTGCTTCGACACATCGGGACCTTGCGCTTTACTCTTAATCTCGGCTCGCTAATCGGGTGCACGGCATGCATTCAAAGCGAAGCCTAAGTACATACGTACGCACCCGGGAAAACTGTAATAGGGCATTATAATCCCACAAGCAGATATCAACACGTCAGCCTGACTGCCAGCAATGCGCCTCGCAACAGAATACACGGACGCTGAATGACTCGGATACGAGGGTGTTTCAGCCTTGTAACGGCTGCAAGCCTTGTCGCCTCAGGTTTGTCTCAGTCGCGATCACGTGGAGCAGTGAGGTCCCCAGCCACTCCCGATTTTCCGGACAAAGAGGAATGCCAATGCGTAACATGACGCTTCACACACTGCGCATCATACGGTTCTGGGGGAGCAATATCAGACGCACCGATCACTTGCTGTACTGTGGTTGTTCGAACCGATTGCGCCACGAACTACATGGTGACAACAGACGGCCCAGTGTGAACGCCTCGATACCAATCCTCGACAAAGACGCTCGTACCAGTACGTGTCAGCTACCAAAGTCTTGCGCCGAGAGTCCAGGGCAAACTCGTATTTGCTGGCCTAGATTCAGTGTTACCTGCAGGGTCAGGCACAACCAGCCACAAGGGATGTTTCAACCCCGCGAGCACCGCAGATGGCGTCAAGACAGGGCATTCGGCTAGCGTGACTCCGAGCAAGCACGGTGTCATGACGTTGACGTCTATAATCATGCTCTGTCTGCTGCCAAAGGTGAGATGTCTGCTTGCGTTTGCCACACCTACTTTCTTCAATTTTCTTCATTTCTCTTTTTAGCGCTCTGGAAGCCGCTGCCAGCTGGACTGTGCATATTACTGTAAATTGTTCTTTTTTCACAGTTTGCATTTCCGTTTTTTAATATCATAATGGGGTGCGGAAAGTCTGTTTTGATTACTTTCAGGGCTCTGGCCCTGATTGTCGTACTGGGAGTCACTGGAGTGGGTGGTTGGTGTAAGAACAACTTTTTTCCGGATGAAAGAGCTGGATTTACTGACAGCCCGATGTAGCCGTTTTTATCGTTCGTGATATCCAGGCCCGTAGTGATGCGATTCTCGGTAGTGTTGAGTTTGGATCACAAGAGATGGAACAACTCTGGGCGAGATTTTTCGATGCTGTGATCAGCGGCGTGATCAGAACTTGGGTCTCTATCGGTTTAGTACGTCTTTCGATTCTCCGCTCAAACCACGATACTGACGATATAGACTGCTCTTGCTTCCGTAATCAGTATCGTATTGGTCTTCGCAACAATTCTGCCTCCAATCCGAATCCGCTCGGCAATCATGGTCCCCTTGGAATGTCTAGGAATGTGCTCAATGGGAGCAGCAGTTGGTATTTCTTTGAGTTTCGCTTTGAGCGTGAATGCTTTTGGCGAGAGGGTTCTTGACACATCCGCTTCCCCGGAACTCAGGAGGCTTGCCACACTAGTAGACCTCAGTATGGTCCACTTCATCACAGCCGGTGCCGGATGGCTTCTCTTTCTGATCGCATTCATCACCGCTACTGTAGACGCATGCAGACGCGCTCGAGAGAAGGAAAGCTGCTCCTTTGAACCAACGGCATCTGCGCTTGGCATATCTCATGGATACGCCACGACTTTCCCGCCTCAGTCGCCCTACCGTATGTCAAGTATCTACGAGCCGGAAGTAGCTCTGAACAAGAGTGATGCAATGGCCTCAGCATGGAACATTTCTCAGGCCAAAGAGTCAGTGGGGAGGGATCCAGGAATGAGCCGTGCAGAGTCGATCGTGAGCCAAGAGGGCAGGTTGTCAATCGGATCTGATATGAGCAGTATCTCCGGTCCTTTGGGTCTGCAGAAGCCAGAACGAGCACAGCCAACCCGGCCAGCCCGGCCATCAAGACCATGGAGTGGAGCTTCTAGCATAAAGAGCGGATTCATACACGCAATATAAAACGTGCATACGCCCCCAGAAAAGCCAGATGATAGATTGACGACATTCCACGCTCGCTTCCACGAAATAGACACATTCGCTCCCCCCAGCTGAGAAAGCCATGCTGTGATAAACTTCAAGAATGCAATCATGTGATCGCGTCTCTAGCGCGTTTTTCTAGCGCGTCAAACCAGGCCCTGCGTCATCGCTGTCGATAGCGCCCTCACCCGCATTTCACGTTGTTGCACATATTTCTTCTCATATCACAGCAATGGCAGGATTCAAGCGAGGCGGCGCCCGAGGCGGCTTCAAGAAAAGCTTCAACAACAAACGCTCCTCTCCAGATGACGACGACAGCAGCGCGCCACGCGCAAATAAGAAAACTAAAGGCGATGAGGATGATGATTCGCTTCCTGTCGTACCTGAACTTAAGACGGATGATAATGGTGATGCGTTTGTTGCTGTAAGTGTTACAATTTGCTCAGCACAAGCAATATATGCTCACGAGAATTGTAGTTAAATAGCAGTGGCAAGCGACGCGTGACTGTTAGCGATTTCAATAAAAACACTTTCGTCAGCATTCGTGAATACTATGTTACTGATGCTGGGGAGACGAAGCCAGGAAAGAAAGTAAGTGTCTTTCTCATCTATTAATGTCTTGTGTTTTAGATGTGCGATTACAGTGCTAACGGAACTAGGGCATCTCTCTTTCCATTGACCAATACAATGCTCTACTCGCTGCTGCTCCGCTCATTGAGTCCGCGCTTGCAAAGAAGGACATCAAAGTGACACGGCCAGATTACGACGGCGATGCTAGTACGAAATCTGAGGCAAAGGATAACAGGAAGGAGGAAGAGCAGGGTGTTGATGGCGAGGCGAACAAAGAAGACGACGAAGATGAAGATGACGAGGAATAGGATACCAAAACTGTGGGGAACATTCAACATATATCGTATGGGCTGCAGGGAGTTTTCGGCACAATGGTCACTGATTGTGAAATCAGGATACAACCTCACTGCTTTCTCTTATGGATACTGGGAGAGAGACAGGCAATTCAAAGCATCGTGTATTGTGGCTCCATAGAGCCTGTCTCAACTCACTGAATCTTGCTACTTCCGTAGATATTGTCTCAAGCATAATTGCTGTGATTTTCTAAACTTTTTGTACTGTATGCGAGCTGAGTGTCATAAGCCTTTTATGGCACTCACCCCGCAAGTTCCTCCACTAGCCTCATGGGAGTGTCAGGAGATTTTCTAAAATGTCGTCTTACAAAGATCGATACGTCTGAGAATAGACTTTATAAATCCAGTGAAACAAAGACCCTAGACTACAGCAATCAACGTCCTGTATTGATAGCGTAGATGAATGTTTGCTAGCGAAATAAGCTTCTCCCCAAAGCATGTTTGCGCCAGGCATGTTCGTCTTGCCATAATGGGCATTGCACTAAGGCCGATGGCTTTGAGGTCCTTCCTGAACCCAGTGGCACAACTCTTAAAGAAACAACCAGCATTGTTGGTGACAAACTAGCTGTAGAAATCAGGCATAGAAAGGTCAAAGAACCGAGTGTATGGAGAGAATTTGTCGAGTGTATAGTAGCCCCGGACCTACATGAGGCGCAACACGTCAGAAAGCATATGTTGTAGACTGGCGTAGGAAAGGGCCCGCGTGGCTTGGGCACAGCTGTGCAGATCATACCAGGGCTGAGCCCTTCATCTTAGTAAAAGGTAAAAAGACAAGTATCAACGTTTCAGTGTCGGCAGACTTTCAAGAGACGGTCAAGGGGAGCGAGCTCGGTATGGCAAGGGCGACCGTGCGTCTCTTGTGCGCGAGTGCCTCCTCTCTCTTTCGCCGGATGCCGAACGCCGACGGTCGCGCTTTCGATGACGATCTCGAGAACCCTCACTTTCATCTCGAGCTCGTTCTGATCGGCGTCGATGATGTCTGTCTTCCGAACGATCTCTACTCCTGTCACGACTCTTGCTCCGATGTTCCTTCCGACGCGAGCGCCTATCCCGCTCGTCGTGCTCTCCATGTTCCTTGATTCGCCTCCTCTCTCTATCGCGATCACGGTCGCGATCACGGTCTCTTGATCCATCTCTCCGGCTATGCCTATCCTTTCTCTTTGCTCTCTCCTTTTCCTTGCGCTTCTGCTTCTTCAATCTCTTGATTGCGTCGTCCACCTTTTCTTGCTGTCGCTTGATCAGGGAGTCGCGCATTGGATCTTCTTCATCTAGCTTGTCTATGAGACGGCCCAGTTCAATCTCTTCAGGCAGGAGCGGTCGGTCTTCGTCCGAGTCAGATTCGCTTTCAGTCTTGCGCCGCTTCCCTCTCCCATTGTCAGATTCGACTGCTGGGTCGACATCGAGCTCTCCCGTGGTGTTGTCCCTCATGTCCTCATCGTCCTTGGGCTTGTATCGCGCATGATCCACTCTGATAATTCGATCCATAATACTGGCACCGCCTAGATTGTCAACGGCCAAGTCGCAACTCCGCTGATCCTCATATTTGATCCATGCGAAACCTCGTGACTTTCCTGTCTCTTTGTCGCGCGCGAGCTTGATCCATACAGGTTCACCATACTGAGAGAATATGGTAATGATGTCACCCTCAGAGAGTTCAAAGGGAAGGCCGCCGATGTAGATGAAGGCGGTGTCGCGGTAATCGGTATGCCAGGAGCCTTCGGGACTGATTCCGGCCTCGAGTTCGCGCTTATTCAGCTGCTGAATTGCGCGGATCGAGTTCATGGTGAAGGTTGGTGGTGAGTATGGTGTCGTGTGTTCGGAGATGAACTTTTGGAGAAGCTCGGGCTGGGCTAGGAGCAGCATCCCTGCAGAAAAGGTACCCACGACGTGGAAACAACTACACCAACACCAACCCCGCAAGACGCCCTCCCCGCCGCCGCCGCAGTGCTTCTTTCTCTTCCGCCACACAAATTCTGGTCTATTGTGAGTTGATTGCTTACAAAACTAGAAACCGCAGTAGGCAGCACGCAAGCCACCGTCCATACCACCTCCGCAATGGCCAGCGCGCGCCGCACCCCCAACTTCCCCACGCGCACCCCGGGCAGCAATGACCGTCCAGTCACGGCAGATGCAGACAGGGAGGAGATATGGAAGCCCATGTTGGACAACATCTCGAGCGGAAAGCGACTACCGGAGAAGAGTTTGTTAGTGTTGGGTGAGGCCCCCGAAAAGCGGTATAGGGGACAAAGCTAATTCGAGAGTGGCAGGCGGAACACCAGAAACACAGCGAGACTTTCTCGAGTCAGTTTCTACAGACTCTGCAAACAACCGGAGACCGCCGGATCGTGGCAGAAAGCCGCCCGTCGCCAATCAGTTTGCCCTGGGATACACGTACCAAGATGTCCTGGATACGGATCATGAGGGTATGTGCCATCAACAGAGTGCGCTGCCTATTTTCCTTTACTAACACCGTCAGATACTCTCGCTCGCCTGTCGCTGTACCTCCTCGCAAATCCTTCTCCCTCCTTCACCCCACTAATCAAACCCTATCTCAACCCGCGAACTCTCCCACACATGCTCATCGTTATACTTCTGGACTGGAATCACCCATGGCTGTGGATACGCCAACTCCGCGACTGGATACGGGTGCTGAGGTCCTTGATCGTCTCACTGGATGATGCGTCCAAGGTTGTCTTGGAAGAGAACATTCAGACTTTGCAAGACAAAGGCCGCAACCTGGCCGCCGAGGGAAGCAGCCTAGAGAGTGTAAAGGTTCCGCTCGGACCCGGCGAGTGGGATGAACCTCTCGGCATTCCTCTGTGTGTTGTCTGCCAGAATGCTGACAAGATCGAGACACTGGAAAAGGAGCGGGGATGGAAAGAGGAGGAATTTGACTTCATCCTCCAGTACATGCGCACTATTCTTCTCAAGCACGGATCAAGTCTGGTCTACACTATGCCAACAGCACCTGGTTCACTACAAACACTCATCCATTCTACTCTAGGGATCAAATCGTTACTGAAACAGGAGCAGCTGCGGCACAATGTCACAGACCGAGATCGAGTGTTGGTACCTCCAAACTGGGATTCATGGGCAAAGATCCGCATTTTGCGCGAGGGATTCGATGTTGAGGGCATAAGCGAAAAATGGAGCGTTGATATTGACATCCCCAACCATATGCGGCCAACGAATGGCCAAGCACCCGGCCCCGTTGAGGGAGAAGAACAAACAAACGGCGAAACAACACCAGCTCCGATCCCGGAGGAGGAGTACCAGGGCCCTACGGCGACTTCAATCTACGAGGAGACGATCCGCAATCCCGAATCTGACTACACGTTGTCCAGCTTGTCGAAACAAGCCAACGGCCTCGAAGTGTCTAGCAGAGATCCACAAGCCTTCCTCGCTGACCAAGTCAGCGTGCTTGAGCACCTACGACGAGAAGACGAAAGCGAGGCTGCTCTTAAAGCTGCACGCAAAGAACAAGAACCAGTGTCGCGAGCCTGGGCCGATGACGCATCAGGTGTGGTCGAGGAGCATATCGGTCCTGTTCAATTCAACATGGGTGGTATCCAGGTCAACGCCGATGAGATGGTGAAGAGATTGCAGGTGAGATGAAATTGAAACTGTTCTAACCTGGTATCTCGGATACAGAAAACTAACTGTACCCAGGACCGTCAAGCCAACCGAACGGACGATCCCGAAACCCCACCACCTAAGACTCAAGATACTAACATCAACGACAACGAGAAACTGCGGTCTTTCTTCTCAAGCCTCGTCAACAAGACGCCTTCAAGCACCCCGCGCGGCTCATAAGCTTTTCGCAGTCAAAGAATCCATGCCTTCAAATGCCTGATTGCACACTGCCATGCATTTCTTGCTCTTCGTCATGTAGTTTTTGTTTCAAATTGGTGTCTATTGACTTCGTCGTCAATTAGGGCCACGGACTTTTTTCCTTTCTCTTAAGGTTACGATCGGCATCAGCATGGCTCTATACCCACTGTGTAAACTCGGTCTACAATACAATCTTTTCACATTAGCCTGGCGTGTGTAGTGTATTATCCAATCAAAAAAACTTGACTATAGTAACAGCTACATAGCTGCAGGGCAACGTAATCGTCCGCGTATGGCTAACAACTCTTGGGTATAGCATGGATTCCCAAACGGTCTCCTTGGTCCATCCGTACGGATCAAAGCGGGTGTGGCGTGGGCGATTTGACCAACGAGGATTTCCAACCCTAGGAGCTATATACCCGAGCGTGCATGCTAAGTCTAATCAAAGTAGGCTACAGGGCTAGTCGGCATCACAGCATTCAAACTTATTTTGAGTTACTAACGAAGAGCGAACAAGAAACATGTATATATATATGCATGCGTGCAGACTCAGTTAAATTCATCAAAATTCATTTCCTAAATCCTAGTCCAAAAAAAAGAAAACGCCAGCTATATAGGCCAACATTTGCCCTTGGCCAAAGCAGGTAGATATGTATTCTACCTAAGCAAGCTGCTGCTTCTGTCCCGTAACTACAAGTAAAATGGGGTTAGGTACGTGATTCACTATGTATATTCGTTTGGCAGATGGAGGGGGAGGGGGGAGGGGGTTTATAACGTACCAGGACAAACGGCACCATCCCTCGCAGCCTCTACACTAGGATGCGTAACCACCTTATCCTTGTGGTGTCCGACCGTGGCCTTGGTAACAGGGCAGATGTCGCCCTCGTTTGCCTTGAGCATATCCGGGTGATCAGGCGGCAGGACGGTGGTGGCTACACCGACGATGGGGCATAGAGCGTCGTCCATTTCTTGGGCGCGCGGCTGTTTGATGATGTTGTTCTTGAGGGCGGGACACGCAGTTGCGGATGTCTCGTTGGTGGGGACTGGGGGGTGCGCGTGCAGGTTGTGGTGGTGGTCGGTTGTTGCGCCTACGACGGGGCACTGTAAAGTGAAGATGTTAACATATGGTACGGAGGTTTGGTTCAAAAGGTAGTGTTAATGGGGGAAGGGGGGGATAACGTACAGTTTGGCCGTCCTTGCTGAGGTCTACGGAGGGGTGATTTGGCGGGAGGTGGTCGTTAGTGGTTCCGATGACAGGGCACGACATTTTGGCGATGGAAGCTGTGATGGAGTGTTGTGGTGTTGTGGTATTGGTTGGTGTATGTTGGGTACTTTGGAAGCTAATAGGTATCTTTTGAAGTGGGAAACGAGGAGAGCAGGTGAGAAAAGAGGAGAAGATAGCGGTATGGATATTGAGTTTTGATAGACTACGTCCATGCGACTTGTATGGTCCGGTTTGAAGCTAATTCCCCAGATTTGCAGGGATTGGGCGGTTGACGTCGGTGTCAGCGTTATCGTCGAGCCGCTGATTGGGTGGACCGGCTGGGCCCGAAGACATCGCCCTGTTCAACGCTCCCTTTGTACGTTACACATCACGTCATGTGGTCGGAGAGTACCGATTGATGTCTCGCAGCTCGCATCACGTGCTGTCAGACTTGACGTACCCTGTGGTCTGTGCAATGCTGTAGCATAATAGTACTACTATTATGTACATATGTACAGTGCACTATACTTAGCACTACGTGCACTACAACTTACACATGTGATGTAGGGAAAGAAAAAAAAGTCGATCCCTACGTGAGCGACTCGTTGTGTATGCATTCGGTCTTATACAGCGCTGTGTCAGTCTTGTCGTTGTGAGGAACGTATACTTGTCTTTTCGAATCACTCTATGTCCTCGTATTCGTCCTTGTTCTTGTCACCACACTCTCGAGCTGTTTCATCTTTGTCATCGGCACAATATACTACTCAAATACCCTTGCGCTAGTTTCGTCATCGAAAGGAACCTTACTTGAGACGTTTGGAAGGACCCAAGGCTGAACGGGGTACAGTATCGCAGTTCTTGGGGTCATCGCTATTTATTGCTCCGAGTTGATCTCGTCATGGTGCAACCATGTTTTCTCTTCGTCGGACTCGATACCTCACCTAGTCCCATTGCGAATAAATATCTACGCCAACCGCGTTTGTCGGCCGTTGGTCCTGTTCGGGGATAGGATAGGCTAGATTCTCTAACCAAATAAGCAGCTGTTGTGAGCGAAAGAGGGCTAACGAGTCCGCCAAGGTAGGATCAAAGCACGTGTCCCCGTGATTCGCCACCTTTAACTGTGAATGGAAAGAAGATAGTTGTTATCGCCTGGACATGTACTAGTACCACTGAGCAAATCCGGCTCGCATGTTATGCTGTGGGACCCGGCGCGTATCTGCGCCTGGTCCACAATCTGTGCATTATCTGCGAAATATTCAGCAGGAAGAACACGACTCGTAGAGTTGGCCATGGAAGAGAAGGGCTCTGCGCCCAAATGCAGTGTTTATGTAATAAGGTGGTGTGGACTGTCCGAGGTACGGCCGGACGGTCAACGTTTCCCGGTCTTGATATTCCCTTACTTTAGCCATGTTGCCGTAGTAGGGCGATAGGCGAGAAAATCCATGTTACCGCAACTACCTTGACCGTCGATGAATAAATTCGCTACATATGGCATTGCAGCGGGGCGTTTTTGACTGTGAATGACGCATATCGCGATAAGGACGTCAATGCGACCACCCACGTTTAGGGAAGGCGCCCCCATAATGCTGGAGAAGGCGGTATCCAGCTCCCATCTGCTGACCCAATTCCCAGAAAAACACCGCGGCAACTACCCCACACTCTTCCCCAGCCGGCTCCTTTGTTCCACTAATGCATGCATCGGTATTAAAGTCGCCATCCATGAGCCGCATAGTGCCGGGTCAGGTGGAGCTGCTGTTAATCTATCCATCTACTACTATTCGCTGTATGAATTAGCTCTATATGAAAACACCAATGTCGCACTCTACATTTCCGGAGGCTAACGGCCGTTCTTCCAGTCGTGTGTGCATACAGCCGTAGTATGGGTTTCATATCTAACATATTTGTTTCCGTCTGCACTTCAACCCATCTACCCAGGTTACCGTACTGCTGTTCGGCTTGCAATTGACTTTGACATCCGTCGTCAAAATGTTCGCTGTCCCTGTACTGGTGACTCGCAATGTGTAAGTATCTTGGCAATGGTCCTAATCTCAATGCTAATGCATTCAAAGGGTTGACCCCCCTTACAAAGGGGCAAAAGATGGAATGTCGCCCATTGCCCCGTCCATCACATCTTCTGCCTCTTCAGATGATTCCTTTGGCTTTCTGGATCGGAGGGACTCGACATCCTCCACCGTATCGACTGCAGCATCTTCCATGACTTCCGTACAAGATAGCCCCCGACCTAAACATCGTAAGACTCTTTCCAATGGGTCCTTTACTCGCCGACTGCTCCAGAAACGTAAGAACACTCATCGGGAAAGTGCACCTCTACCCACATCATCTCCTATCATAGCCCCGGCGCCTTGCCTGCCGGCACCTGTTGAGATCCCTCCGCCCCCACCTCCAGTAGAAGTAAAAACCTCCGATCTTGTTGTTCAATGCCGAAGCCGAACGTACAACTGCGACCGGGAAATCATGTGCTACCACTCACGATGGTTCGCTAGAGTGTGCGCCATTGTCATGTCTCCAGTACGCTTATCCATGCTTCTACTGAAATTTTGCTAACACCAGCAGAAATCATCAAGAGGCGCAATTGATTTAAGCGCAGATGATCCCCTTGCAGTCGCAGCAATGATGCAATACTGCTATCAACTAGACTACGACCAGCTGTCCATCTCAGACGATGAAGCACCCGAGCCCGCTACTCTGCGCTCACATGTCAACGTGTACATGCTAGCAGAGCGGTACGGGGTTGCTGGATTGAAAGCAATTGCCATGGAAAAGTTCAAAGATCTTGCCACCGTAGTGCTGAATGAAGACGGTCAAGAGGACCAGCTGCAGTCTACAATCCGCGCTATTTTCGCCCCAGATCGTATTGCAAACGGCGATGAGCTGAGAAACGTCATGGTGAAGCTGTGCGCGGACCATGTACAAGCGTTCATCCACGACACGGGTAAGAAGATGGCTCTCGTGTACGAGTCAATGGAAGAGTTTCCAGAGTTTAGAGCAGAACTTTTTGATGAGATGGGATCTCGTTGGAGGGTTTGAAAAGACATTCATCCGCTGTTGTGCTGCAAGCAATCGTTTGGTCCCTGAAAATCACCACTTCACCTTCACTAGGCTGCTTATACTTGGCACAGTCAGATTGCTCCGTTCGCGTTTGTTCCGAGTTCGCGTTTGGTCAACATTTGCAACCCATCAGCGAAGAAGCACTGACTCTCACATACTTCCTACAGTACACTTTGCGCTATAGCCGGCCACAATGGACCAGAGAGGAAATAAGCGTGTCTACAGCAGCGCTTTTCAGAATTCTAACGACGAATATCGTAAAGTATTGCGTAGTGTCGCTGGCTCTTCTGCTACTTCTCAATCCTCCTACATACCTGCAGTTTTGTTTGGCACCGACAAAGAAAACAGCATTCCGTTCCTGGACACAGAAGCAGACCAGGAATCTCTTCACAGTTCCCAGAATCATATACGGCTACCGCTGGGCTCTTACTCGCTCGGATGTCAGCCATGCCTTCCTTGTATCTCTCAGGTATTGGAGGAAAGTGGACGGGGCATCACCCTCCAGGAACCAGGGCAGTTTGAAATGGACTCATCTCCTCTCGACTTCCACTTGGACCTCAACTCCAGTTCTCCTCTTAATGAAATCGCAGGCTTTGGTGCTTACACCGGACCACCTACCTTCGAAGATCCAAACACGGCATTTGTCCAACCTGGTCACGATGGCGGATTTACTTGGCCTGCCCTGCACTTTCAGGACCTCTCACTCTACGACACTCCAAAAACAATGTTTCCAGATCAGTTCGAGGGGCCCGTTGTTGCAGCCCGTATAAGTGTTTCCGCAGTCGCATCACAATCCCTACAGTAGTAAGTAACCTCTCCCCTCCACCTTTACCCACATGTGCGTATCCTAACCCCAACACAGCGCATTCCCCACCCTCCACCCCAACGACATCCTCATCATCTTCGACAAAGGCCACAAGGTCATGAAACTCAACAAGTACCTTCTCATGCTCTCATCCCGCTTCTTCGCCTCCATACTCACTGGCACATACACTTATGGCTACACGCACTGTCTCCGCCTGCGTAACGACTTCCCTCTGGCCATAGCAGCCATGATTCGGTTTCTGGAAAGTGGCGCGTACGCACTCGATCCTATGATGCGGACCCAGTGCCCCAACTTGACGCTCTTCGATCTACATATCCACGCTTACGTTCTGGGTACCAAGTACGACATGCGCAAGCTGTGCGATTATGCTATTAACCAATACGTCGATCTGGGGCGCAGGATTCTGGACAAGAGCAGCGGGTATGTCCACCAGATCACTGGCTTGGTGTCTCCGGGTGTGAATTCCTTTCTCGACTCTTTAGTACTTATCTGGCGGAATACGCGGGATAGCGAGGATGCGTTGCGTCAGGCGGCGCTGGAGCTGGTCAAGGTGAAGATAAATAGGCTGCTCCGGGTCAGGTTCTTCCAGACGCTGCTATGGGAGTTGCCGGGATTTGGTAATGATGTTGTGGCTAGTTTGCAGGAGGATGGGTTCGATGTCAAGGCGTTGCCTGTCAGGGCTGGAATGCAGGAGAAGGCAGGTGTCAGTTTTGGTCGTGCATGATTGTGTATGGACTGGGTGGTGATCTGTCTACTCGGGGTGGTGGATCTCATGGTTGTTTTGCTAGGCGTTGTTCAAAGTACTCATGGGTGATGGAGATGGCACGGTAGTCTGTCTTCATGTAACTGTTTCATAGCCTACAAGGAAAATATGGATGGAAATACGATGGCACTTTTGCCTGTATCGTGTACCGTCGGACAATAGGAGACCCGACACGAAGTTGTGGCTTGTGCTCTGGGACTTTGTGGTTGCTTGATCTACATGGGACTAGGCACGTGTGGCGGTCGTCATAGGACCGTGTGCTATGTATACGTGCACGACGGAGATGGAGAAGTTCATAAGTATTCATAACATGCATCGTCTATGTATGTGGTATGTATGACTCCCGTGCACGTCCATGCTGTCGTCACCTGACGGCTAGGCACAGAATCGTAACACGAGGGTCAATTTACTCTTCGCAATCCGAGTGGAGTTCGATCGTCCATGGGAGAGCAGGACGAGACCTCAAAGAAGATGGCGTGTCTATAGTCGAACCGTGGACGGGGGTTCTTTAGACTTTAATAAACTTGGTATGTGAGCCTGTCGCAACAACTGGGCCAGGCTTGCCGTCGACTAGCTTCCAGATGGTCACACTGGTAAAGGCAAGTGTGCCGCCGACTTTGCTAGCCCTGCCCTCAATTTCTATAGTATCGCCATCCTTTGCTCCACTAAGATACGAAACGTGGATGTCAGTACTGACGCCGGTCTTTGAGCGATTGTCCCAGCACGCGATTGCCAATCCTCCAAAAGCATCTATGATGGTAGCTGACACTGAGCCGTGTATACTGCCATGGGTGTTGACGTGATTGTTGGTCAAGGATAGCCGTGCGCGCACGACACCCTTAGCCGCATAAGTCAGTTTGAGATCAGAAAGAAGAAACTCGTAGATCGGGCTGCTTGGCTTGCGGTCCTCCCAATACTTGTCGACATGAGCAAGAGCTTCGGGGTCGTTGGGAGCGTCGCTAGACATGGCAAAGGTTGGCGGAAAGGGAATGCAAGGTTTGCTGGGTGAGGCGGGGCAGGCCGGGGATTAAAATATGTTCGGAGGGAATGAAGCTGGGGGAGATTTGGATGGACGCCCGGGGCCGGGGCGGCATTACTTTTTTGCGGCCTCTACTGGTACGAGTGAAACGGCCAGGCGAGCCCCATGAGCGGTTCAGGGCCGCCACATACAAAGCATATCCAGTCTGCCGCGCTGGACTATGCTTCACGGCAGGCCAGGACACTTTCCACTACTGCAAAGCCCAATGTTCCCACCATGACCATGCCCGACACCGTTGACACTCCTGTTCCTCCGAACCCGCCCCAAACCGAACCCGCAATCGAGAATGCCCATGCCACTGACTCGCCGCTGGACGGCACCGCTGCAACACCAGAGAAACCCGAGGCCGTAGTCGCGGCATCGTTCTCCAAGGCAGAGCCCCAGGCAGAAGCCAGCATCGACCTCAAAGCTCTCACCGACCGTGCCTTACACTTCTTGGCAACGGCGAGCAATGAGACGCTGGGCGCTTGTCTCGCTGGCCTGGGCGCCGGTACCTATCTCATACTTGGACGCGTCGGCCTCGTGCTCATAGGCGTCGTGGGCGGCGTAGTCCTACATGCGACATGGGAGGGCTACCACAACGACAGCCAGGGCGGACGGGGAAAGAGTGCCGAGGCCAGGAGACGCGAGCTGGGCGCCGACATAGCACAGCGAGTCCTCGACTGGCGGAACTCTCACTCTCTTCATGACACGTCCGAGAAGCATGATAGCTACGACCTCAACGTGCAGCTGTACTCGGGCAAGAAGCTCGACTACTCCGACTTCAGGCCGGAGACGGCGGCTGCGCTGACGGAGCTGACGGATGCAGTCATTCGTGACTATGTCAAGTATGTCCTCTGCGCAGTCTTTCGTAGATACCTTTCTAATACACTGCAGGTGGTGGTACTCGCCCCTACTGCCCACCGAAGAATCCTTTCCCAACTCGTGCCGCCAGACCTTGACCGCTTTTGTGCTCTCCGTGTCCGCACACGTCTCCCGTAAGAGACCAGCAGACAACTTTGTTGACTTTGTGACGCGCTCCTCGTCCTTTCTCATCATCCTGCTGCAAGAGATTGTCACCGCCATACAGGCGTCCCCCGGTGATTTCCCAACAGAGGCAGTTGATCTATACCTAAAGATGAAGCGGGACAGCACGCTGGCCAACATACTCGATCCAGACTACCAGATGAAGCAGTTCAGTGTAGCTGCAGAGGACATACTCCAAAACTATTTGGACCCAAAGACGTACAATTGCGCGCCAGCACGCATCTTCTTGCATCAGATACTGGCCAAGCTTGTCCTAGAAATGATTGTCGTGAGCTGTTCGAAGCCTGAATCGATCAATGGATGGATTGTCCAGCTTTTGGAAGCAGGCGAGCCTGAACTTCTGAATGCCATCGATGCAGGCGTCGAGGGCTCGTCTGGACAATTGCCAAATGCCACAGTGGATGTAGAAAAAACACCGCATAGCCGAGACATGTCTTTGGCTCAAAAGAAGGAGCACAAACGCGTCGTGAGCAAGGCCCAGGAAGCCATGGATGATGCCATGCGGGAAGCTCAGCGTTTGAGCCAGATGATTGCTGAGGAGGACGCAAAACGCCTCCAAGAACAGTACAGACAAAGTGCATCCACTTCGACACTGAATGATGATCAGTCCGAGAGCACTACTCAGGGCATTGTCACCCCGTCATCTTCAGGCAGCGATACACATCATGACTTCGAGCCTAACGACTTGGGTATCTCAGGTCTTTCCAGCCCATCATCACCTCCACCCAGATTGGTCGAGGAGCGTGCGAAAGAAGAGGAGGCGAAGCAGGCATTTACCAACTTTGATCAACTCGTGCTACCCCAGCCACCAACCGCGTTAATGGACAATGCCCCGCCTGCTGAAAGGCCGCCACCATTGACACTGCACAACAGTATAATGTCGATTTTTGATGACAGCATGCCTGGTGAAAAGGGTAACATCAAGAGCAAACCTACCGCCGAATATCTGATCCAGATCGAGCCAAAGTCCAATCACCACACAGGATGGATGACAGCACGCAAGTACAGCGAATTTGAGACTCTACATGAAGTCATGCGTCGCATAGCAGCCATCACCGGAGCGACTGGATTCAGTGAAGCACACCCCTCGTTGCCAACCTGGAAAGGCCATACCAAGGCATCTCTTCGTGGAGAGCTCGAACGCTACCTCAATCACGCTGTGCAATACCAGTCACTTGCTGAAAGTGAGGGCATGAAACGCTTTTTGGACAAAGAACTCGGTTCTGGAAAGTCTCCTGGCGGCGGCTTCCCGGGAATGAACTGGGCGGGTCAGACTTTCGATACGGTAGGCAAAGGCATGCTGGGTGTACTGACAAAAGCCCCTAAGGAGGTCGCTGGTGGTGGCAAAGCACTTTTCGGTGGAGTCAGCGGAGTCCTGAACAGTGTGACAGCACCATTGTCAGGAAAGAAGAACCGTGATTCGGTCATCGCTACCAGCACTCCGACTACTTCTGCAAGCCCTGCTCTCAGTCGCACTTCAACGTCAACAGCGCCTACCCAGACTCGAGGTAGGGCACAGTCAACCGTTTCTGAGTTACCTACACATATTCGTTCAGAGAGCACCCTATCTCTAGTAGCAACCAAGCGCACATCAATGGATTCAGTGCGTGATCCAAATTCTCCTGTTATCGATCAACAACCAACACGAGAAGCGCCCATGGAACGACGACCTTCTTGTAACCCCGAAGGCGATGGCAAACGCTCCGGAAGATCGTCAAGATACGGCTCCAGGACCAACAGTCGTGCCCCAAGTACCCATGGCAAGATTGAAGACCTAAGCCCCATGATGGGTGGTGACCAAATCCTGAACCTCCCGCCTATGCCCAGCGAGATCTCAGACGATTACATGTCGCGTGATCCCCCCGAGCCCACACACAGCCAAAAACCATCACGAACATCCATAGATTCCACCCCTTCTCTACCCCGCCGTACCTCCACGACATCCATCACCCCATCATCGCCCTCAAAATCCGCACTCAGAAGAACCCGCACAGACCCAAACTACACACCCCTTTCCGAGACCGAAACCACCGTCGTAATTGAGCTCTTCTTCGCAGTCATTCAGGAACTCTACACCCTCTCCTCCGCCTGGACCCTCCGTCGCACCCTCCTCAACGCCGCAAAAACTTACCTTCTCCGCCCTTCAAACCCTCAACTCTCCTCCATCACTTCTCTCCTCCAAACCACTGTCCTCGACGATAACACTTCCGACACGGGCATCGCGTACCATATCCGCAAGATTCGCGAGAACGGACTCCCCACCGAGGACGAGCGCAAGACGTGGCCTGAACCCATGTCAGAGGAGGAGAAGGAGAAACTTAGGGTTAAAGCGAGGAAGTTGCTCGTTGAGAGAGGTATGCCACAAGCGCTCACGAGTGTTATGGGGCAGGCGGCGAGTGGTGAGGCGTTGGGCAAGGTGTTTGACTGTTTGCAGGATCAAAGAGTTGCAAGGGGTGTCATGTTTGGTCTTGTGCTGCAGGGTTTGAGGGCTGTGACGCAGTAAAAAGATGATGATGATGATGATGATGAAGTTGGTGTATGAGAGAGAGGGAGAAGGGAGAGAAAGAAAACGTTGGCACGAAAACATGATATGAGGGGTCTAGAGAGTCTCTTTCATGCGCTTTTGTTTTTTGAAATATGGCGTTTGTAATAAGATGGTGGTGTATGGGCGAAGAAACAGTACATGTCCCTCTTGGTCTGTTTACAAGTTTTTTTTTAATTATTCATTTTTTGGTAACTGGATAGAGAAGCACATGTTTAATATATCACAAAGTTTCAATGATCACGTTGGCATCACAAGAAAGAAGAAGATACAAGTTTGAGGAAATTCAGGTCCATTCATTATAATACTCGTAAAGTGAGCCCTACTTGCGCCACTCCATACAAGACAAAAACTCATAATCAGAACTTGCTGTTATCATACAAGAAGGAAAAACAGAACAAAAAAAAGACTATGAGTCCATCCACCCATCTGCCAAAGTCATAAACGCCCATTACTAAAACCAGTCGTACCACTGTACATTACTCATGCCCAGTTATCGTCATCCAATTCCATATCACCCATTCCTTCATGTACGAAACCTCCGTGCTTCCATCATCCCACATTGACATAATAAAGGAGAGTCCAGCCCGTCCAAGAGCGTACATACCCAAACAAGTGCTGCACGTTTGCTAACATCACAAACTTCGCCGTCGTCAAGCTCGACGCATATCGCTAGCGATGCCAACTCTTAAACCCTTAAACAGAGGGCGAGTCAAAGCTTCAAACTGAGAAAGACACGGAGCGAGAACGGTGGGTCAAAGACTGTTTTTAGCAACAGCGCCGAAATGTAAAGATACTCGTTTAGGCAACGACACTCGTTTCGCCGACAACGCTTTCACCGACGACACTTTCGCCAACGACACTTGCTTCCTCCTCGGCTGCACGGCGGAAGTAGTCAGCGTCATGCTCGGGTTCGTTCTCAAGAGCAGCAGTAGCCAAATCAGTGCCAACGCCAGAGTCGCTAGGAGGAGAGTAATTCTCCTTCATCTCTGCCTTGACGGCGTCAACGGCTCGAACAATATCTGACTGTGTTGGCAAGTCGACATCGCTGTCGGCAGTGGCGGTCGTGATCACTGAGGAGTTGACTTCGGATGGATCAAGGGTAGCGGTCGGTTCATTGTCCTCTTCATCCGAATAGTGCGAGCCTTCGGAACCTTCAGGATCCTCGTTGATTGGTTCTTGACCACGAGCGGTAGAGTGAGTGGAACGGGCGCCATAAGAGGTGCGACGGTCTTGGTCAATATCACTGCCCGTCATGTAGGAAGTTCCAGAAGCATAGGTGTACTCGCTGCCTGTGCCGCCGAAGCTTGAACGTCCATCATAGCCAGGCGTTTCACCCTCGGCGTAGCTCTCAGGGTAGTCGTCGTCAACATTATAGCGACGCTCAGTACCAGTCTCGCTTTGCGCATCTTCCTCAATCACATCATGCGAGATGGGGTCCAAGGCTTCGTTCTCATCAACTTCAGGCAAGACAGTGTTCTCCTTGTTGGCAACGACGGCACTAGGTCGTCCACCCCAAGATCCCTTGCGAGAGTAGTTGCTGGTTTTGACAGAGTGGCTCCGCTTCAAGTTAGCGTTGGCATCATTCAAGGTAGTCGCGGTTGGATAGGCTTGCGCTCCTGTTGGGGTGTTTCCGCTAATCTGACTGAGAGACAAGATTCGGCGTTGGCTTGGGTTGACAGGCTGACCGTTACGTCGAATGGCGGGGCGAGGCTTAAGTGCAAGGGAGATGCCATTAGCTGCGGTGCTGGGAGGTGGCATTCCCCTGCTCTCTTCCGTGCCGACATCGGTGCCCACGCGCTTCTTTAGCTTCGAAGGGCTCTTCAAGCCATTCTTGTTCATCATTAAAGCACGAGAGTGATCCATAATCCCATTCAAGATGCGGCGCTCCAATGCATCTGCCTTGGTATCCATGATGTGCAGTTCCTCGCGGCGGATCTCAAGCGCAGTGTGGAGAGAAGAGACCTCTCCAGTGAGGCGCACCTTTTGGTTAGCCAGGTTCTCACGTTCTGCTTGAAGTGCGGCAACAGCAGCCAAGAGAGAATCCTTTTCTTCCTTCAACTCCGCCATAGTGCGATCCTTCTCGTTTTGCAGCTCAATCATGACGCGCTCCTTCTCTTCTTTGAGCTCGTGGACAACCTTTTCTTTCTCGGCCTTCATCTCCTGGATGTCTGCGAAAAGCTGCTCCTTCTGAGTGGCCTTTTCAGCCCTGAGGCTCTCCAGGTCGATCTCGAGTTGCTCTTTCTGTACCGTCCTGCGTTCGATGAGTAGAGCCAACTCTTCAGCCTCGCGCTCCTTTGCATCGTTGCCGTCGGTAATGTATTGAGTCTGCTTGGCGACAAACTCACTGAGCTCAGCAGCGGTGATCTTGACTTGGTTGTGAATCTCTTCCAGTTTCTCGGCGTTTGAGGCTGCTTTGCTAGCTTCATCGGCATGGCCAAGGAGTTTGTCGAGCTTCTCGTGCACAGGACTGTCGTTGTAATTTGGCGGTGGCTCGATCGCGAGCAGCTTATCAAGCTTCTCATGCACGGGGCCATCGTTGTAACTAGGTGATGGCTCAATGGCGAGGAGTTTGTCAAGCTTCTCTTGCACTGGACCGTCGTCATACTTCTCCTGAGGCTCAGGAGCAGGTGCTGGCAGAAGCTTGGGTAGGTTCTCGAAATGGGCCTGCAACTCCTCAGATCGAGCCTTTGCCTGCTCATCCCAAGCCCTGGCGTGCTCGTCTGCCTCTTCCTTGCACTTTTGCGCGTGCTCGTAATGGGCCTTGACTAATTCTTCGATCTCGTGCAATGCGACCATGAACTTGGGATGATACTCGGTCATGTTGTCTTGAATGTTATTGAAGATTGACTCGACATTCTTGATCTCGTCCCGCGTATGAGAATGCTCTGTCTTGTCCTCGAGCTTGAGTTCTTCGAATTTGGCAATGTGCTCCTCCAGCTTCGCGATAGTCTCAGCCTTCTGCTCTTCAAGTTTCTCCATCGTTGCGAGCTTCTGTTCATCGAACTTGGTGAGAGTCTCGTCAACCTTCCCAAGAACAGTTGTAGAATCGGTGGACCATTGCGTAGTAGCACCTTCGAATCGGTCATTCATTCCGGCGATGGTAGCGCCAAGAGTGTCGATAGTAAGACGGAGCTCATCTGCTGTGGTCTTGGTGCTTTCAAGCATCTTCTCCTGCTCTTCAGACTTCTCTTTCATGACCTTGGCAAGCTCGTCGGCCAGGAGCTGAGCATCGTCGTACTTGGCCATGAGTGTGTTGAACTTGTCCTCCAGGCGCTCAGTGAAGGCAGCAACGACAGCCTCTTTGGTTTCGTCATGCTTTTCGAGATGGAGGGCCGACTTTTCGGCACTGTCGTTCTGCAGCCCCTCAATGGAGCCATGGGCGCGCTCAAATTCCCTAGTGAGAATTTCCATAAGTTCCTTCACATCAGCAGTGACGTTGTTGGCACCAATGGTTTCTTCCATTGTCTTGAATGAAGCTTGGAGGTTTTCGATAGGACCGCCTTCGATAAGGCTGGTCTTGATCTCCTCTCGCATCTCGTCCAAAGCAGCCTTGACACCACTGATGTCCTCGACAATTTGAGTGGCCTCTGCACGACGCTCATCAAAATTGGTAGCTGTCTTCTGGATATCCGCTTCATAGGTGTCTTTCATCTTTTCGTGGCTGTCGCGGAAGTCATGGATGAGTCCAGTAAGCTGCTCCAGTTCGGCTTTGGATGCAAGCTCTTCTGGGTCCGGGATTTTCATGTCATCCAGTTTGACTTTGAGATCGTCAACGAGAAGGGTCACAGCGTCGATATCAGCCTTCGTGGCCTGAGGGTTGCTTTCATCCTCTGACTTTGCTGCCTTCATCTCGTCTAGAACAACCTTGATATCGTCCGCAAGCACCTGAACGACTGTAACATCTGCCTTAGTAGCACCTTCCTCTTCAAACTTCTTTGCAAGAGCATCCAAAGCCTCAGAGGTGGTCCTGACTACAATCTCGACATCTTCCAGGTTCTCTTTGGTGACAGTGGTAGCTGGGTCTGGGAGAACAAGCTCTTCGATCTTGGCTTTGGTGTTTGCAAGCAGAGTCTCGATCGCATCCGTGTCTTCTTTTTTGGCCAGACCTTCGAGTGCAGGCGGTGATGTCTCGCGGTCCTGCATTAGCACAACAGCAGCTTGGATGTCTTTGAGGAGTTCTTCAATGGCAGCAAGATCTTCCTTCATGGCAGCTCCTGTGGGAGCTGCTGGCTCTGAAGGTGGTGCGGCATCCTTGGCGTTGGCATTGGCGTTGGCATCCATAGCTTGCACCTTATCCTGAATCTGGGTAAGGAGGCGCTCCATCTTGGCTACATCCAGCGATTGGGCGACGGGCTGCGGCGCAGCATCCTCCTGTACTACATCTTGAGATATCTCGCGTGACGTGGTTTCTTCGCCATCCGGCTTGTCCACAAGAGCAACCTCGTTACCGGCGGGCGCGGGAGCGTCCTCACTTGCAGGTTGAGTGCTGGGCTGGGCCCCCTTCAACGACTCTACGTCAGCGCGCAAAGCCGCAATGCCGTCCTTGAGAACGTCCAAGATCTCGTGAGATACGCTCATGTCTACGGGCTTCTCAGCAATCTTGGAGACATCAGCTCGCAGGCTCTCAATGCCTTCGTTCATAGCATCGATGATCTCGTCAGTAGCAGGGCCGTTGCGCTCAGGAGGAGTGTTGAACTTCTTGTCGATGTGGGACTGAAGGTCATCAAGGCCTAGCTTGACAGCCTCCAATACTTCTTCCGTGTCGGCGCGTGAGTGTTGCTGGATCAAACTATTAGATTTGTGCACGTGCTCAAGCTCTCCTCTGATAGCTTCGAGGAGCTCTTCGTTGACACTAGCAGCTGAGAGGTTGGCCTTGATCTCATCGAGACCAGCTTTTACGGTCATCATCATCTCAGCTTTTTCGTTATCCCCACTAGGTACAAGAGCATTGCTGAATGACTCCTTCAATGTTTCTAGTTCTCCACGAATAAGAGCCAAGTTGTCTTTTGAAGTGGTCTCCTGGGAGGTATGCAATCCATCAAGAAGCTCTCGAACAGCATTGACAATCTCGTCCTTGTTTGCTGAATCGCCTTGCTTGACGACTGAGCCACTCAAGGTCTCCCGGAAGGTTTCAAACTCCGTCTTGAGAGCAGCAAGCATGTCGTCGTTGGATGTGGATGCAGTCTGTTTTTCGCTCAAGAGGGTGTTAAGTCCATCCAAGCCCGCTTGGAGCTTCTCGAGAATGTCATTCTTGTTGCTAGAAGAGTCGCCGAGAACGACTTCCTTGAGTTGATCAAACTCGTGCTTGATAGCTTCACTGATATCCTCATTCGAGTCGACATCGTCATCGTCACTGGACCTGAGAGCAACTTGAGATTTCATCTCCTCAAAGCCTGCTTTGAGAGCAGCAAGGATCTCCTCGTTGGTCTTGGAGGCAGGGAGAAGTTGAGAGCTCAATTTTTCCTGAAGGCCCTCGAACTCAGACTTGAGATACGCCACCATGTCTCCGCGGCTCCACGCTTGGTCTCCACGAGGGCCCTCTGCAACGTAGCCTTGGACATCCTCGCGCAGTTTATCGAGCTCCGCCTTGAACTGATCAATCATCTCACCGTCTTGAGTGATCTCTCTCGGCTGGTTTGATGAGCCCTGGATTTCTGTACGAAGACTATCGAGCCCTTCCCGAAGCGCTGTCAGAACTTGCTCTGTGTCCTTGCCGCTGGTAGAGGAGTACCCTTCGAACTCAGTGTGCATCTCTTCTACCATTGACTGTAGACGCTGCATGACAGACTCGTTGTGAGCTTCCGTTGCTGCCTTGACAGCATCCGTGATACTCTCCGGGGGGATTTCGATTTCTAGGCCGGCAGAGTTGTGGTCGGTAAGAGCCTGACGGATAACCTCCTCAAGCATCTCCCGAGAGATACTCTCGGCTGGTGTTGGCTGCTGGGCTGTAAGAGCTGGCTTCAACTCCTCCAAGGATTCTCGCACGGCCATGAGAACTTCCTCGCGGATTTCATGGACTTCATTGATTGGCGGTGGGAGTTGAATCTGTTGGAGGGAGTCGTGCAGCAAGTTCTCAATGTCCTCCTTGGTAACCGCGCCAGAGCCGTTGAAATCTTGCAGCCCTTCGCGTAGACACTGCAGTACCTCATCCCTGCCCAAGCCGACTTGTTGAATCTCACGATTGGCATTCATCTCGACGCCGTCAAAGGCCTCTCGCACGGCACTGATGAGAGCTTCCTTGTCGAGGGCAGCTGACTGGGCAGATGGCTGATCCAGGCCTCGCTCCGCGAGTGCTTGCTTGACGACATCGTACACCTCGTTGTTGTCGACGGTGTTGCGTGTGACCACCGATGACATGGATTGTCGCCTTCGCTCACGCATGACCTTGTCCATGTGCTCCTTGAGGTTCGCGAGACCTTCTTGGACGATGGTGTTGATCTGCTCATTCGCCTGACTTGACTCTGGATCTGATTCCACAGCTCTAGTCTGCTCCGCCTCTTCCAGCTTACGTGCAAGCTCGCGGCCCATGCCCAGCACTTCACCGCGAAGATCCTGAATCATTGACTTGGTCGCCATGGTGACACAGCCCGACTCTGCGACGCTGTCCTTGATCTTACGCAGGAACTTGAGCATCTCCTCGCTTACAAAGTCAGCAGCCTTAGGGCTAGAGTGGACCTTGCTATCAGCCGAGATTGTGCGAGTGAGCGCACCAGATCCTGGCGAAGGTTGGAAACTTGTAGACCCAGGAGCAGCATGGACAGCGCCGCCTATTGAGCCTTGCTTGACGAACTCCACCAGCTCAGCAACCTTCTGGGCAGTCTCTCCAGTAGCTTTGTCAACCAGCTTCTGAAGATTTGTTACAAGCCGTTCCTGACCATCTTTGGTTACCATCTCCCGAATGATCTTTTCCAGCATGGCGACACTAGCGGCACCCTCAACAGAGTATGGGTTGGGGCTTCCGATGCGCTCGTCGGCCCAGGGGCTACTTGATGCCATCCTTGGAAAGGTGAACTGCTTCGTAGGCGTCATGTGGGGATCCTGAAGGTTGAGGCTGCTAGATCGAGATGTATCTCCATTCATAGCGGCAGTGGCAGCTTCTTGCTGCTTTTGCGACATGGTTGCCAGAAGGTCCTTGAGCGACTTTCGAATATCCTCATCACGGAGGTTTGTGGCCTCCTTTAAGCTGATGAGGTCAGTCGCGTTGTCCTTGCTCCTTCGACTCAATTGCGACATGTCCTTCTGGAGACTGGAAACGATGTTGTTGATGCTGACAAGCTGACTGGCAATGTTGTCGAATGAGTGAGGTGCAATTGAACCCTGGACGGGTGCTGCCGCTGGCGCTGGCGCCGGCGCTGGCGCTGACACTGGTGTAGATATCGGGGTAGTTGCCGCCGCTGGTGGTGGAGAGCGTGGAGAGCGTGGCGAGCTGTTAAAGTTGGCCGATGGTGGCGGGTCGAGCATATGTTGGGGGATAGACATTGTCTGAAGGGCCATCATCGTAGCAGAAGGAGGCGTGTTCTCGCCTAGGAACGGCCGGTGAGTGGGCCGCAGAGCCGGTGTGTCCTTGATCTCGAACCGTGGCGCTGGTGAAGGCGTGACATGTCTGGTAGGACTGGGATCGGCATCTTTACCAAAGTAGTCCTTGTCCCAGTCGCGCGAGATTGGTCTGCCTCCTCTACTTGACGGCCGGTCGCGCTCTGGGGACCGCTCTGGCGACCGGTTGTCTAAGTAGCTGCGCAGGTCACGAACACTGCCTGGCTGGAGCGATTGCATACGCTTGTGCTGATTACCTTTGATTAGAGCACGCTCTGGAGAGAGCGATTTGAGTGGCATAGGATTAGTAGTGTATGAGCTTGCGGGTAAGCTCTCTCGCGCCTTCTCTTCTAGCGCCTTAGCCGCTTGCATGATAGCTGCTGATGTGTTAGGGCGGGTAGTGAGATTTGGTGAGCCTGGGTTCAATGGCAATGGCGGAGGAGCCCGTTCAGGGTCAGCACTGTCCCACCTAGAGCGCAGTGTTAGCAGTGAAATGTAGCGGTGTGCATTGGTATAGAAGAAAATGAGAGTACGAACATGGGAATCATTCTGTCCGAAGAGAAAGAATGTGAGTGCCGGACGAGCTCCCTGTCGCGGGAGGGTTCTCTGTCGGAGGAAGGCATTGTGGTGGTATATGGTATGGTGGATATTTAAGTCCCGGGGGTGGTATGGGAGAGCACAGCGGGTACAAGGCCGGCTGAGCGCAGAAGTTTGTTTTGCAGAGAATAGGTCAGGGTATCAATCGCGAATGGCTTCGGCGATCCAGCGCAGGGTAGAATATGCAACGCAATGGTTCGTGAGATGTGGAGGGCGGATGGTGGGAGACTGGAGTGCAGGTTCAGAGCGAGAACAGTGTTGATCTAGGTTGGGGTTTGTTTACGTGCACTGGCCAATAGGCGATGACGATGGCGGCGCGACCTGCCAGCTCAGCCGTCGCTGGGGCAGCACTGGCGCGAACAAGACGGCTCCAATGGATATGGTACGCCCATTGGATGCACACCGCCGTTGCGAGTCGGCGGTGGATTGCAGCTCAACAGGCGATATGCATGTCATGTGCATTGCACTGCGAGTAGTCGTGCACAACCAACATCGCCCGTTACCTGGGGGAGGGCCTTGCATGCCGTTGTCGATAAGGCGCTCGTTGCCATGCGCTTTGTGGCGCAGGTGGCTCCTCCACGCCGCTCCCGCCCCGTCACTTGTCGGCGTTATGTATCGCCGATCCTGTCTCCGCCGCCGCATCTCCAGCTAAGCTACCAGCAGTTGATCATCACCGACCGCCTGCTCCATCTCCGCCACACAATTCCCCGTCCCCTCCCGGCGAACTGCTTGCACGGACTGCCCAACCACCCTCTACATACTCTCCCCCATCCATCGCAGAGCCATGGCTGTCCCCGAAACTACATCGCGGGTGGCAGAGGCGCAGAAGCTGGCCAAGTCGGATCCCTCCAAGGCCGAGCAGATATACAAGGACGTCCTCTCACAAAACCCCGGTTCCAATGAGGCAGCCATCAAGAACTACGAGACCGCCCTGGTCGGTCTCGGCGAGCTTTACCGCGACCAGAAGAAGGTGGACGCTCTGGCGGAACTGGTAAAGCAAGCGCGATCGGTAATGTCATCGTTTGCGAAAGCAAAGACATCCAAACTGGGTATGCATCCATCTCCATACGCTGGCCTGGGGGCCAATTACTAACACAGCACAGTCCGACAGCTTCTCGACCTCTTCACCACCATACCAAACACCACCGACATCCAGATCGCCGTCACCAAGTCATGCATAGAGTGGGCCGTCTCAGAGCGGAGAGGCTTCTTACGGCAAAACCTCGAGACCCGACTTGTCGCCCTGTACATGCAGAAGCAGTCCTACTACGATGCCCTCACCCTCATCAACAGTCTACTCAAGGAGCTGAAGCGCCTGGACGACAAGCTGGTTTTGGTCGAGGTGCAGTTGTTAGAGTCGCGTGTCTATCATGCATTGGGCAACATACCCAAAGGCCGTGCTGCTCTCACATCCGCCCGAACATCGGCTGCCTCCGTCTACACCCCACCTCTGTTGCAGGCCGGCCTGGATATGCAGAGTGGTATGCTACATGCCGAGGACGGCGACTTCAACACAGCCTTCTCCTACTTCATCGAAGCAATGGAGGGATACCACTCACAGGATGAGGACCAAAAGGCAACATCAGCACTGCAGTATATGCTACTCTGCAAGATCATGCTCAACCTCGGAGACGACGTGACATCACTCATGACCTCGAAGCACGCCGTCAAGTATGCCGGCAAGCGATTAGAGGCCATGAAGGCTGTAGCCCGAGCACATACGAACCGCAGTCTAGAGGAGTACGAAACCGCCTTGACTGACTACCGCCAACAGCTTGGTAGCGACCGATTCATTACATCCCATCTTCGCCGCTTGTATGACAACATGTTGGAGCAAAACCTCATCAAGGTCATCGAGCCCTTTAGCCGGGTCGAAATCGACCATGTCGCCAAGATGGTCGGGCTAGACACCATACAGGTGGAGCGGAAGCTCTCTCAGATGATTCTCGACAAGGTCATTATTGGAGTGCTGGACCAGGGCGCCGGATGTCTTATCGTCTATGACGAGTCGGAACGCGACCAGGGATATGATGCTGCCCTGGCCACTCTTGAGAAGCTGAGCAACGTTGTTGATGTGCTGTATACCAACCAGGCCTCTCTGTTGGAGTAGAATGTCGGCTGCGAGAGGCAGAAGCGTCAGACGCACTCAAGCTATGTAAAATAGAAGCATAGAAGCTCAAGCGTGCTCAGCATTCAATGTGGCTAACTATTAATGACAAAACATGATTTGAACCATGCTACCCTTGCATATGAATCTCTAGTTGCTAATGTTGCATTGCAGATTCATAACACCCGATTTCATGTTAACCATACCACTCCTTTACGCCTGCATATCAAATATCTCAACACTAACTACCCATGTCGCAAAACCCCATCCATCCGTCTATCCCAGCCAGAAAAACAATTAGAAGAAAGAAGAAGAAACAGAAATTAATGCCCCCCATTCCCCTCCCTACTCCTCCTCGCACTCGCATTCACAATCACAACCCCCAACACCATACCACACATAAACAGCGTAATAAACGTCACCGCAACCACCGTACAGCGGTAACGCTCACTCTCCCTCTTCTGCCTCGCGGCCGTATGAACCTGCTCGTCGCACACGGCGCAGTGCTTGTGCTGCGAGTCGGGCTGGGGGAGGAGGAGTTTGGTTATTGTTTGGGCGAAGGTCTCTGGTTGCTGTTGTTGCTGTGAGGGAGGGGGAGGAGGTGGAGATGAGGTGGTGGTGGTGTGGGCGTGGTGTTCAATGTCCGAGGTTTCGCGGGCGAAGGGGGGGTGGTCTGCTTCGTCGGATTGGGGGATGGTGGTATACTATTGGAGGGGGTGTTTGTTAGGGATTTGGACTGTTTTTTTTTCGCTGTGGGTGATATAAATGGGTTTGCGGGGCTGGGGATCAAACGTACGCCGGAGAGCGAGCCAGATGGCATGTAGCGGTTTGTGGGGTGGTTGTTGATTACATCGTCGTATGCTGGCGCGGCTTCGGTGGGTGTTGTAGGGATGCCCATCGTTGTTATCTTGTCAGTTGTGATTTAGGTTTGTATTGAGGATTTATATTGGAAGTGTTTTAGTTTGTCTAAGCAGACGCTGTTCTTATCGGAACACATGTTGCCACAGCCATACACTTTATACATCTCTACACTCGCTGCCGCTCTTACCGGTCAAACGGCTGATCATGGTGTTGGATGCCTGATGATTGCACAGCCTCTGCATGCCTCAGCCCACCTCGTCATGGTGTGTTGTGGGACCAACCAGCATCATGGGATAGTAGAGCCAGGGTCACTAAAGCCACAGTTATGCGCTTATCACATTGGTAGGATTTGCCATTTAGGGACTTAGTGGGAGACACAAAGCAACAATCTACTGTCTGAGCCGTGGTGCCGACCAATCGTGACATCAGACGGCCGAATTGGTGGCGCATGCATAGACTTAGCCAGTCGTATAGCTCGATGTGGTTGAGAGGGGATTTTCATGTGCTTTGCGGGGACGTGACCAACCTTGTACAGCCCGTGAAAGAGGTGTAATAAACTATACACCACGATATTACCACGTGACTTACTTAGATGAAACCAAAAAAAAATAGAGATTTACCATGCTAGTAGATAGATGCCCTCTGCTCTAAGATATATTGAAAGTATATTAGCAGCTACACGGGCTTTTGGAAGGGCCTCTCTATCGAAATACTCAATAATGCGGAAAGCCCGCTTCTTAAAACGACCTTCCAAGTCAAGAATCAATAGCAAAGCTGAACGAAGCTCATTCTTTCCTGCAAGATATACATCCTTACTCACGAAAGGTCGAAGATGCATTCTTTGCCGTCACGTGGCTCAGAATATATTCCATTTACTCTCCGCCCCCCGCAGCATGACCAGAATTCTCGGCACACAAAAAGATAACAACACTTTGATGTATTCATTGTCGCATTATTGTAGAACCATCAATCGTAACGGACGACAGTTTGGTATACGAAATGCAACCCAGCCCACTTATCCACAGAATTTAGCATCTAGGCATAAGTACCCAGTATCTTTTAGCATGTCAACGCCATCCCCAACGCTGCGGCGGTATCCACAATCTCTTGGGGGCTCGTTGCTGTTCGCATCCGCATTAGTACGTAATGTCTCTTGGTGGCAAAATAGCATCCACTTCCGCCTCAGCACTGCGGTACTTGATGTCTCTTGGGGGCTCGTTGCCGTTCGCCTCCGCCTCAGCGCTGCGGTACGTGATGTCTCTTGGTGGCGAAATAGAAGCACTGCGGTACTTGACGTCTCTTGGGGGCTCATTGCCGTTCGCCTTAGGAAGTGGATCTATATCTCTATGAGTATGCATTGATCGCCTATGGACCTTAACATACTTGGAAGCGCAACAGCGCAAGCTGCAAGAGCTGCGAGGATAAAGGAGGTTCTCATATTTTCTGGTGGGAAAGTAGAGGATTTGGATCGTTCTGCAAGATGTTTTTATGGAAGCCGACGAACTGATGATCAACTGATGACGGGTACAGGTATTTATATATGTATACTACAGGTGCACACCGGCTCTGCTCTTTGACAAACAATCGACAATCCAGCAATTGGATGTGACACCGCCTGGGATCAGCAATACGACCTATACTCCAATCAGGAGGTGAAGTGTCCCGTGGCCATACCATACTATACTCTCCCCAGTGCAGACACCTGACCGAGTTTAGAATCTAGGACGATCAAGACGTCATACACAATTAATGCGCGATACACTGCGCTACAAGGCCAGAGCTTTGTGTGGGGGAGCGCTAAAATAATGATAGGCTCTTCTTCGGATGACTCTGTACCAGTTTTTTTACAGAGAAATACTACGCTATTCTTGATAATTATGATAGCTCGTACCCTTTATAGTATAGTTCTTACTCTCTACCCTAGTCTGTATCGTCCTCCTGCTGATATCCTGCGTATAACACTTTAGTGTTGTAACACAGTACGTGATGAAGAGACACTATGATCTCATAAGACGAGATCGAGACTCCAGCTCCTAATAACACAAAAGGGTGATGCTATTGCGTCATAATGTAAGGGTTTATTTGGTTGCGCGTTTTAAATTTGCGGTTTTGGTACTGCTTGGAGTATAGAGCTTCAACAAGGGGTGGGGCTAGCTAGCGTTGCGGTTGAGCTCAATAGAATCTGGATGGCTGGTGAAATAATGGGCACGTGACGCGGCTGATCCACACTGCAACCATCAGACCCATCACCAAAACCACCCCCAAAACTACGATATGAGATTGGCTACGTGACCAAAAATGTAGAGGTTCATGGGTACATCTTGCAATCGCGTGTTGTCCTTTCCCAATAGAGCGAAAAAACGTGGGTGAAGTATGCACTAGATAAGGTTTTTGTGCTTATCGCTACGCTAACAAAGCATGGCAAGGCTTGACGCCTTTACCACCATTGAAACCACGCGATTTTACCGCATATGCGGTATAACAGCGATTTTGACAGCGTTTTCAAAACGCAATTCTATATCGGGCAAGTAAAACGCAAAATGCTGAACCGAACACGCCGTGAACTATGTAAGCACTAAGCGATTGTTGTGATGTCTCTTTGATCTCCTTCCTTTCCTATTTCCTTTTCCCCTCACGTGTTCCCCTCACGAGTCATGCGAAGTTTTCTCTACCATCAAGCTCCAGCTCCTTCAAGTTCGCCATACGAGAGGACGATACTACTGTACTAGTAATTTCTCGCCCTCCTTTCGATTTTGTCGACGTTTCTCCCTCTTTCTCTTTAGCAGGAAGCGAATTGCACGAAATTTGTAGACGCTTGCCAGATCATGGGCATGAGAGAAAAAATCGATACTGCCTAAATGACGGGAGCAAAGTTACCTGCCAGATCTAGAATGGACGTTACGAGGGTACGTGTAGTGGATTTACGATATAGTCCAAGCAGCCGCTCAAGAAGCCTCGATCAACATTGGCGGTATTGCTTAGCCTGCCTTGTAATGCCGATGAAGTCCCTTGCTGACGTGGCCCATGCTCCGGAGTAGGGAACAGAAAAAGCCCGGACAGTTCGACAAGGCCCTACAGGTAGAGCAAAGGTCATTGGTCACCCCCATAAGCGGTAAACGTTGGTCGGTCTGTCGTAGTGCGGCACTATCTTTACCTCATCTCTCTTCTCATCCTGTTCTTCTTTATTGTTTCTTTCTCTTATTTTATTTCTGAAGATAAAAGTTAGGTGAAAAAAAGAGTAGAAAGAGAAGAAGGAAAATGAGAGCAAAGAGAGAAACAGAGGTTACAAGAGAGAGAGGGATGGAGAAAGGGAGAGACGTATTTTCTCTTTTTTTAAACTGTAAATATGAGATACGATAGATTAGGTTGGACTCTATACTAAGCAGACGTACACTGCTTATCGAAGGGACGTTCACCGCTTCTAGCGGGGGTTAATAACCTATGCCTATGCCATCATCGTATATATCTAAACCTGTCTAGGAATGTGAGAAGGGTGTCGCAAGAAGTTGACCTCGACCCGTCTGCGACTGACTCGGTACTATGAGACCGGACCGAGGTTTACTGATTATACACACTAAATCGCTCGTGCATGACGCGACTCAAGTCTACCAACTGCGCGGGAGAACTGTGAAGCGATAATCCACTTCGGCATCAGTTGTAATGCTAACGCTAGACGTTACACTACTATCGGGTCAAGAACGCCCGGAGCGCTGGAATCTCCGCGATTTTGCTCGACTTGCCACGTCCACTGCTGGCCATTCATCAACTACTGTCGCGGCTTTCGAACAGAGTAAGGAAATCGAAGATGGCGAGAGGCTATGAGTCCCCTTCTGTGTCCGACTTGGAAGAGTCCGCACCATTTATCGACCAAGAACGACTTGAGAAGATACGTGCAAGTAAAGCTCCGAGGTCCGCCTGGGACTGGATATGCCTTGTCGCACGAAATGTATGGCATTACGTCTTAGTGGCAATTCTCTCAAGTCTGGTCACAATGGCAGTTCTGCGAAGCCATGGCTTGTTGCACGTCGAGAACAGCCCATTGTGCGAAGACATGGATTATATTCGTGAGTATCATTCTTTTAGCAGACTTTCATCCTTTTCCATCATCCGCTGAACTGATGTTTCTCCAGACGAATATGCACCAATTAGAGACCTAGACCGGTCATTCCATATCGAGACGTTCTCACCATTCAATTACAGCACAAGCGAATATACCATGGATCCTGCCGAAGGTGACGTCGATGAGAAGTGGATGACCCTTGGCCAAGATTGTTAGTCATCCAGTATCTCATAACATTTGATCCGAAGTACTGATTCCTGTCCTCACAGCGGGTCATTTCTTGATTCCAGTTTCCGAGGGTCACAAATATGACATGGACATAAAGCGCCACGTCACAGTTCCAGAGGGTGTAGCCGAAGAGGAGTCTTTTCTGGTCTCGCTCGATGTCATGCACCAAATCCACTGTCTTGTAGATTACCCAGGCGTGCCTAGAGTCAGCAACTCAGAAAGCTAATGCGACATCTAGGACACACTACGCGAGAACCTCTGGTACAACCGCGACTGGTACTCCGTCCATCAAAAGCAACATCCCAAGCTCTCGGTTCACAAGGCTCACACAAGTAAGTCTTTTGCTGATTATGTCATCTCCACCCTCGGTCCAGACCACTGACAGTCATTCCAGACCACTGCCTTAATGCTCTCCGAAAGCGGCTGATGTGCTTCTCGGACGTAACCTTCCTTCCAATGGTATATATCGACAGAGAAGGTTGGACACTACCAGACTTTGAGAGGCGCCACAAGTGCCACAACTTTGATGCAACCAGGGAGTGGGCGTACAAGCACAGAATGTCCGATGCTGCTGCCAGCTATAAGAAAATAGCTGGGCCGGAGAAGATCCTGACTACTTTCCCCGGGTTCTATGACATTTACCCGGAGCGTAATAACCCAGATCATAAGGACCCAGACCACGGACATTCGGACAATAAGGAGCATCATAGTCATTGATGGTAATTGCTGAGATGCAGTATTCCAGAGCTTCGGAGGCAGTTTCCAAGCTCCTTTCATTATAATATCATGCTTGAAGTTTGAAATAAATGAGCTGAAAGCGAATGAAAAGCGTTCAGAGTCATCCAAGAGCCGTAATGCCTGTCCCTTCGTGCCGAGATGCACGGTGTGCCGAGGCACTTTTCTTCAAGAAAAGAGTGATCCACGCAGCATACTGTTAGGGGACGCCAGGATGAGGCACGATCGCTGTATTATTCATCGTTGCCTTGAGCACATCTCTTCAGATAGCCTCTCCTACGAGTCATGACAGAGGAAGCGCGTAGTATTTCGTAGTGTAGCCAGCGGCGAAATAATGGATGTCCTCCTCGCGAGCGAGTCTTTCCACCTTTTCTCAACCACCAGCCTTGCTTAATTTTGGAGGATACTTTGAACTGCGATCAATACCCTTGAAGAGTTCTCGCAGTCCCTTTGAGTACTCCGTTTCTTAGGGTTGCTCTTGGAGTCCATTCTTGCAATTCTTCTAACAGAATTGGAAGGCATGATGCTGTGTCGCGTGTCGATGTATTGCAGACCCAGTACTCTACAGCACACACTGTACACCCAGCAAGTATTCTAAAAGTGCCTTACCAGATTGAGCAAGACATGTTTGCAGACTCGTGCGCAAGACGCGATTCGACTGCCGAGGTTGGTGTTTGTGTGGTGTTGTTGTGGCACGTTTGTCGGGAGGAGGTTTTCACAAGCGAAAGCCTTCCCCAGCGCTAGCTCGGCTAGTATCCACTGGAGCTCTGGCCTCATCCGAACGTCAACGCTTCCAAATGACGTCGCTAACTGGTGACACGCCCAACGCCATGCGGACTCGTTTCCGCAAGAGGGCTACTGATTTCCCCGCGTTTTATGGTGCTTAATTACTGCTCTCGCATCATTTCCTTGACCTTTGCCTCTCCGTAGTCAACATGGCAGACAATAGCCCAGACAAGATAAATTTCATCTACAACTCGCAGCTGGTAAGCGCGTCTAGCCTGCACAGTGTCGCGCATGAACTAATGCCGGGCCCTAGGATGCATTCACGCTCTACCACGTGTCGCAAGAAAACAATACCCACAACGCCATCGGCCCTGCACTGCCAGCTCTCGGTCATGCCACTTCTGGCGCTCTAGGATCCGCGATATCGAAACTCATAACATATCCTGTGGACTTGGTCGTAACACGTCTTCAAGTCCAACGGCAGCTGCAGCATGGCAAGGAGCATCCCCACTACGATGGTGTTGTCGATGCCTTTCTCAAGGTGTATGAAAGAGAGGGTGGCTTGAAGGCTTTCTATAGTGGTTGTGTCCATGAAACATTCAAGGGTGTCGTGGACAGCTTCCTGTTCTTTCTAGCGTACTCATATGTCCGCCAAAGGAGACTCAGTGCGCGAGCCAGCAGCCATAACCTGCCAGCCTTGGAAGAGATTGGCGTTGGCGTAATCGCAGGCGCATTCTCCAAGCTGATCAGCACACCACTCCAGCAAGTCGTGACACGCAAGCAGACGGCCGCCATGATGAACCAGGGCTCTACGATCGACCCGCCTCCTCCGCTGAGCACCAAGGACATTGCATCTGAAATATGGCGTGAGAAGGGCATACAGGGCTTTTGGTCAGGATACTCAGCCAGCCTGATCCTAACGCTAAACCCTTCTATCACGATGCTGCTTCACAAGGCTCTACTGCGACTGGTAGTACCGAGGGCGAAGCGCAGCGATCCGGGTGGACGTCTAACCTTCCTCCTTGCAGCGATTAGCAAGGCCTTAGCCTCGACCGTGACGTATCCATTCAGTCTCGCAAAGGCGCGGGCACAAGTGTCTGCACAGAAGCCTTTATCAGGCAGTGGGGAAACTTCAGATAGAGAGAAGTCTGATGAGCCTATCAAATCAAAAGCTCTGCAGGCCAGACAGCGAACTGTATTCAGCACTATCCTCCGGATCGCACAAACTGAAGGCATAAGAGCCTTGTACGAAGGCTTAGGCGCTGAAGTGCTCAAAGGCTTCTTCTCTCACGGCATCACTATGCTGATGAAGGACCATATCCATTCAATCATCATCAGTCTGTATTTCACACTGCAAAAGGCCCTGCGCAAGTATCCCGGTCCGGAAGAAATCGCAAAGTCTGCCTCGGAGGGTGTACAAGACATATATATCCATAGCAAGGATAAGGGTATTGAAGCTGCTGAGAATGTGACCAAATCGGCCAAGGATATCGTAGAGAAGGGCAAGGAGCAAGTTGCAAGCGTCTATTCAAAAGGCGCAGAAGTTGCAGAGGCAGCATCTCGGACGGCTCAGGATGCCCTCGAGAGTGGTTCGCAACACGCTGAAGATGTCGCAAAAACTGTAAGGGATGGAGTGGATGACGCGTCACAACGGGCAGTAGATGGCATTACAGATAGCAGGGTCAAGGACATTGACGGTACCGACAAAGACATGGCCAAGTGAGTCACAAAGCGAGTGGCGGTCACGAGCCCGTATACACACCCGGAGTGTTTTATTTTTATCTTAGCATTCACGGTCGGATTTTGGCGGAGGAGGAGTTCGTCCCCTGGGGTTGCATCGAGTTGAAGAATTTGTACTTAGCAATCTTGTAATAGCAATGCGGGTGTAAGGATTAATTAAGTCATGCGCAACCTGAAACCGTGGGCATCTCGCCGCCATGCGGGATTTGAATTTTGACAAAAATATCTTGCTTTTTTTTGGGTGAAGCAAGCCCCAGCCACCCCTTGATACAAGGAAGTCTTGTCGAGCATCTCAACGGTTGTCTTCCGTCTGGCTGTGATGACGGAGTCTGGCCACTGTGTTGTCGCTTGATGCGTTGTCGATGTGGGGATGTGTGGCCGCGGTAGGCTGCATGTGTCATACCCAGTGGGTGGCTGGTCGTTCCTGCCCGCGGTTGCCCTGGGGAGGCCAGTGCGCTAACCATCGGGCTCCGCGCCCGCAGCGCAACCATCAACAACCCACCGCTGGAGACGCACAACACTGCACGCCGCCGTCCAGCGGCCTACTAACCACTAACCATACACAGACACAGGTTGAAAATTACAACGCCCGCACAACCAACGTCAAGCGCCACGCAGCCCGCCTCAACAGACTGCGGCGCATGACCGGCGACATCACACCGTGCTCGACAAAAGCGGCGTCCTCTATTTCCGGCAACAAAGACACAAACAACACTCGCGCATACCTAAAGCTGCAGATCTCCTCTATGCCGTGAGCGCCCGTGGATGCACACACCAGCACTCACTCGTCTATATCTCGCCGGATCGCCGCCGCCGCCCCCCGCCTAACACATTCCCCTGAGCTTGGGTTGCGGTCCACCGCCACGTCCCAGCAGCCACCATGGGAGTCGTCGATAAGCCCTTCTCCTCCCCGGCCGCGCAGAGAAGAGCGTGGAAGAGTGCGGAAGAGGAATTAACCTACTACAAGACGCAATACGAGACGCTGGAAAATGAGCTGCAGGAGTTTCAGACCTCCAGCAAGGAACTGGAGGCCGAACTAGAACGCGACATCGAAGAGAGCGAAAAGCGCGAGAGGAAACTGCAAGAAAAGGCAGAAAAGCTTGTTTTTGAGGTCGAGGAGTGGAAGGTATGTGGTCCCGGGGGGACATAGCAAGGCGCATTTCCGGCATTTGGGCCCAATTGCTAACATCACTGTAGACAAAGTACAAGCAAAGCAAAGCCGAAGCAAACAATGCGCAAAACACGCTGCAAAAGGAGATTACTGCTTTACGCGAGGGCCAACGCGCGCTGCAAATGCGACTGCGAGATATTGAGGTGCAGAGCGACGATTTCGAGCGCCAGGCACGCAACCAAACGTCATCGCTTGAAGATGTCGAATCCAAGTATAACGTGGCTATTGAGCGAAGTGTTATGCTTGAGGAAGAAATCAAGATCGGAGAACAGGAGCGAGAGCAACTACGTATAGAAACACAGCGACTACGTGATGAACTGACCGACCTGCGCATCGAAACGGAAATCGTACAAGAGAAACTGCGCATAGCAGAAGAAACCATCGAACACCACCACCAGCGCAAGGTATCTAGCCACCTTGCTGGTGAGATTTTGCGACCACGCTCACCCATTTCTGAGGCATCAACGTCTGCGACGACCCTTTCCTCGCCCACAGCCGGCTCGACCCCGCCGCACTCGATAGCAGATGCCCTCCACCCTGACACGACCCCACCATCTCCACCGCTCTCAGACGCACCCATTACCACGAAACTCATCCCTTCGACGCCAATGTCCAGACGAAAGAATTCTGTTGTACCGCAGGACCCTGGAACTACACCTCGTGCCGGTATGTACTCACGGGCGCCACGACATTCGCGAGGGCCTAGTATGTCGGGATCGTCACGGCCACCCAGCTCAGCTGCCAGTGGACGGGCGACGCCATCTCTACGGCCTACTGTGACAGGGTCGCGAGAGACCAGACCAAGTCTTGGCGCGTCTACATCAGCGGGTTTTCCCAGGTCAGGCTCGCTCTATCAGATTCGGGGGCTGATAGGTAAGATGCAGAAGCTCGAAGAACGAGTTCAAACCGCACGATCCAAGCTTCCTGCGCCAACGAGTACGCCACCCCGAGCGAGCCCACGAGGCAGCGGCGGTTCAGGTCACGTACCCAGCTCAGTTACGTTGAGGAATGGTCGCAAGCGCAGCTCGCAAGCGTCAGTGGCGTCGTCAGTCCCCAGCGCCTACGAGTCTGGTGTCAGCCGCCTCTCCTTCGGTGTCTCCAACTCTTCGAAGGAGCCTCCGACCCCCCAACCCGACACCCGAAACTCGTTCTCGCCACCGGCTGCGGCGATACCACGACCGGCGAGCAGGAGCAGCAACCGTACCGCACTCGGCCACTACCAGTCGTCGTCGATTAGCGGAATTGAATCACGAGTACCGAGACCACGAAGTTCTATGAGCGGCCATTCCAACGGACACAGTTACTCGCAGTCCCTTTCCTCGTCTGTACGAGATGATGCAAGCACCAACAGTGATGGAAGTGGGGTGACGACGCCAATAATGGGTCGACGGTCCACATTGGACAAGACAGGAATTCCCACACCAACAGGCATTCCAAGACGGGCGAGCGCAGGACGACGATCGAGTGCAGGGCAAGATGGGGGAGAAACGGGATTCCCCTTACGACTACGGAGGATGTCGACACAGACTGAGGAAGAGTCTTATTAGGACGGCACAGGTCGGGGCGTTTGCAGCAAAAAAAATCCAGGAGGAGCTGCAGGGACTTGTGTGCATGTGCGTTTGGGCTTTTTTTTTCGTCGGTATATGATTTTGCGGCACTATACCTCTAGCGTTTCTGGGAGTTCGGCACACGGGAAGGAAGGGGGGGATGCAGGTACCGTTTATTTAGCTTTGCACCCATTCGGTTCAGACCTGGAGCTTCTCCCCCTCCCCCCCTCGTCAAAGGACGTGTGTGTGTGGTTCTTTATATTTTGGGGCAAGCATTGGTCGTGTTCGAATTTAAGGGGAGAAGCATTGCAAAGACGGTGTTCAATAGCCACTCTCACACAAGGCCCTTTGGGGCATTTACATATTGCTTATACCAAATTTTCCTTTGTTTCGAATTTTTTTTCAAAATATACCCCCCCTTTATCCCTGGATGTTGCTGATTCCCGCCCTGTGCATTTTGTTTTTTTTTCTGTTTTCTTTTTCGTTTTTCTGGTTAACCTGGGTACGGTTACGTGAAGAAGTGAGTTTAGTTGGGAGGAGTGAGAGCGAGCGAGCGAGCGAGAGATGTATATAGAAATAACAAACTCGAAGAAAGAAAAGGAGTACAGTCAAATTTGACTATTCCCTGTGCGCCCTTCCCCCCCACGTTGCCGCCCCTAGATCGCGCGGCTCAAGCGGCTCAAAGTACCCTTAAATCGGGGCTGTCGTGCAGAGCAAGCATGTGTATGGTTCGCAAATCTGGGGTAAAGAAAAAAAGAGCGTGCAGCGTGTGTGCGTTGGGGGGTGGGTGTTCGAGCGGGAAGCTGGGAGGCAAAAATCGTAAGATTCTGATGTCAAACCGCGCGGGACTGGCCGCTCACTCCGCAGCTCGCAGCTCGCAGCTCGCAGCAAGCCCCTCCCCCCCGTCCCAAAAAAGGGTAAAACGCACGGCACGCATACATACACACATACGCATACGCATACGCGCGCGAGAGAGCATTGGACCCTGGATCTTCGGAATGCACGTTCGGGAGTCTGTGTTTTTCCCCTTACTAGTCTAGCAGTGGGGAGGGGGGTGGTTATAACGAGGCTCTCTTGCAGCTTTGTATAGTAGAGGCGCGTCTGCGCTGTTTGTTTTTTTATTATCAAAGAAAGTAATGTCTCCCGGATAGTTTATTTTTTGTGCCGGTCCGCTCCTCCCCCCCCCTATAAGCAGTTTTTTTCTTATGCACAACACGTTATCCAAAGCATAAACACACGCACGAGAGATGGGTGCCTTAGCGGCGATTTATGGGCACCTACGCCAAGATTCCGCATATACGGCCGCATCACGGGAAGAAGATAAAGCATTCGGACGTAAAGTTACGGAGGTGCCTTTCAAAAGTTCTGTCTGCCAAGAATAATCTAGCCGAAGTACGGCCGCCTTAGCTAAGGCTTATCTCTTCCCTCTATATACTTATTACTACCTTATAGCTTAATAATCTTTTAAATATATATAAGAATTTACTTAATTTAAGCTTAGATCTTAA